TTTAACACCAGCTTCTCTGTTGCCTTCATGCTCGCCTGTGAGGAATACAGGCTTAGCCAAAGGCTAGTAAATCCTCCAACTGCAGTGGATATACAGAAAGTAACAAGTGTTTTCTGCCTTGCACATTCTATCAGGAGGGAGTGAAAGACAAATAGTCATGTTTGTAGACAGGACAGAATGCCCTGTTTTCCTCTTAGCTTCTGAATTAACTTGTGGCACGAATCCCCTTCTCCCCCTTCTTTCACCCAGTTCATTGTAGGAACTTACGGCATGTGAAGCTGGTACGTAAACAATAGGTTTGACTTCACGTTGTTTTCACTGAGCTTGTTAGCTTTAAACTGGCTGAAAATCTGACTTATTGTGGACTATGGGCAGAAACCCTTTGGGCAGAAACCCCACAAATTGAAGTCAGACCTGGTGAGCTCTGTAGTCTACGGTAGACTGAGATATGTTGAAATACCACTTGTATGCCTTTTGTTTTTAAAAGGTAGTGTTCAGGATATGAAAACTGTAGCCACAATTTCCGTGGGGTTTTGTCTTTCTAACCTAATTTTAAAAGACACTGCACCATTAAGTTTCTGGAGGAAGATATGAGCCCTCCATGCTTCTAAGTGAAGCAAGAAAGAACAGAAGCTTGAGGGGAACAGTCTTGCTCTGTAAATTGTCCCTAGAGGCTTTTTTGTCCCACTTGTCTGTGAATCTTCCCAGTGCTGCTGGAAATGGTTACTGCTTACTGTGAGGCCTGTCATGGTCATACTTTAGTAAGAACAGAAAATTAAAACTGGTTCCTGGCTGTGGTTTCTCTTGCTTTTTCCTGCATTGAGCCACGGTTTGAGCTTGTGAAAGTAACTGGGGATGTGTTTTTAGACTGAGCACTCTAAAAAATCTCTGTCTGTGGAGAACATACGGACTGCTTAAACCACAACAACTGTGGACAGTTTCTTCACTGCACACTCAGTGCTTCAGTTCTGATCTGCATGGAATGGAGACCCCACATAGCACTGACTTGCTATTTTATATAATGAACAATTTTTGTTTTGCCCTTTGATTTAAGCAATACTGTAGCAAGCATGAAGGTTCTGGTTTTCTTTGCTAATTCTTGTGGATGTCTTGAGCTTCTTGAATAGGTTTTATTTTTTTGTTGTTGTCCTCTTGTCACAATGATTTGATTCTCAAGCAAGGAATGACCGACCTAGGTCTGTGTTCAGGCATGAAGGTGCTGGAAAAGGTTGAGATGTCACACAAATGTAAATCTTACAAAGATTTAAAACAGCGTGTTGGTCCTGTAGGAGGTGTTCTTTGATCTGAAGATTGTGAGTGTCCTGTTTCCGTGCCCAGAATTCAGCCCCCAAGGTCGGTTTGAACTGTGTGGAAACAAAGGACAGCTGTGCCTTTCATGCAGTCAGTGTCCATGGAATTATGCCATGTGTGATTGTCTAATCCTGACCTGTGACTTGAGAGAGGAAGGTGGAAGGCACAAGGCCTCCAGCTCTGGGAGCTCTCTGTTCTGCTTAAGACTTCACAGAAGTGACCATAGGGAGGACCTTTCTCTCCTGCCCTGTGTGGGAAATGGACTTCTCCTCTGCATGTTTCATGTGGATGGGGACTGTCTTCTGCTTTACTGTGCACAGTGCCTGAACTGGAGCTAGGCAGAACAAAAGCATTTCAGACCCTACTGCGCCTGCTGGCATTGAGGGTTATTTGCATGGCTTATAAGCAAAGCCTCTGACTATGTTCTCTGCTGTTGGTCTTGTGGGATTGCATCTGTAAAAGTAGTCTACCGTAAGGACAAGCTACCTCAGTGTTTCTTCTGTGGACGTTCATCCCATTGTCTGTCTTTGAGCATGATTGCTCAGTTCGACCTAAGCTTCATCTCCGCATTTGTACCTGGGGCTTGTCTTCGTTGCAGAGACCTGAGGTTTCATGTGGTGGTGAGGAGAGCCTGCAGGACTGCAGCTCCCCTGTTTTTCTCTTGAAGATGAAGGGGAGAGGGAAGGAGAGGCTGCATTTCCTTGTCAGCAAAAGTACATCTCTCCAATGTGCTTGTCTGGATGCTGCAGCTGCACTGTTCCGTGCCAGCCGGCTTGCAGTAGATTGACAGTGCGAGTGCTCTTGGTCAGTCTCAAGCATGAGAGAAGATGCACGGGTTAAATTACATTTGAGCTGACATATTTTGCCCCACATTTTTTGAGTATTTTGATAGTGTGTTTGAGCTCTTACAGCAGGAAAATACTGCAGTAGTAGGCCTATGGTTGTAAAATGTGTTTTTCCATTCCAAATGTTTGTATTATTAGGTAAGCTTGATATTAGCGTTCAAAAGACTTGCCTGTTTCTTTTGTTTTCTATTTTTGGAGGCCTTCTTTTAACAGTGCTATTGTATTTCCTTAGGCCCTAGTGGCAAGCACTCTTGGAGGAAAATGGCTGCTTTCAAGAGGAAAATTCTATTAACTCTTGTCTTTTTGAAGTATCTAGGGCAGGAATTTAGGCTGATTGCAGTGTTTGGTGCTCTTCTGTGGTTTCATGTGCAAGTCATTATGCATGCCTCCATGATTAAGGGGGATTGCGCAAGACACTGAGCCACAAGTGCTGGAAGTAGGACCAGATGGGGTAGGGGAGCAAATGTGTGGTGAGAAAGGCTGGCTATTTGCTTAGGGCACTGCAGTGGGACTGCGGTGTTGGAATTCAGTCCCTTAGTCTCACAGAAATTCCATGTGTGGTCTTGAGCAGTTATGACCAGTGAGCAAAGGTTTGTGACCAGCCAGCTGGAAGCCAAGCATTGTCCCACAAGCACTTTTGGTGACTTTATGTTCTGTTCCCTTCGTGTTTTCATCCAAATGATGATGAAAACTCCTTTGGACATTTGTAGGAGTTGCCCTGGAAAGCAGCTTCGATTTTCAGCAAATTCTGTTGTAGATCAAGTATGAAAATGCTCAGCATGACAAAAAGGCAGGTGAGAAATGCTCTGTTAATGCTGGGCTGGTTAATTGCAGCCCTGGAAGATGACAGACTCTTTGTTATTCCCCATCATGATAGGAATCCCAGTGTAGTTCAGGTTGCTTTCCTGCAGTTACTTATAGATTACGTTCCTGACAAAAAAAAATCCTGCTTCCATATGGCTAAAGAATCCCAAACTAAACTCTCAAATGAAAAAATCCTAGGCAAACCTAAAAGCAAAGCAACAACGAAGAAACAGAAAAGTAGGAGAATTATTGCTCAGTTACATTTTCAAAAATGTGTGTAGCCCTTTAAGAGGAGCTTGAAAAATATTTTAAAAGGGAACAGATTAAATGAAAAATCTTGCAACATCTGATCTCTGCATGCCAGTGTGCCTGCAGCCAGCCACCCATTTGTCCATCTGAGTTTCTGAACTGTTGATGATCTCACCCAAAAATAAACAAGCAGCAGAAGTGTCTAGGGAGTTCAGTTCATTTAGGAGGTAACCAAGGAATCAGGGTGGGGGGAATTTTTCCTCCAGTTGCAGTGAAGCAGGGTGCTTTAGCCTCCACTGGAAAGAAAAAAGGGCATTTTTATGTTACTGCAGGAGCTGTCTCTTTTTCCCAGTCTTTACCCCAGGGGATAGTGTTTGATTTTGGTGCAGTGGGGCATTTGCATGAGGTGGTCAAAACCAGTATATTGCTGAGTGGTCCTGCTGTGGGAGGAGAGAGGAGGGTGAGGGAGGAACTTTCGTCCCAAAGTAACCTCCGTGTTGCCTCAGCAGAGGAGGGTGATTTACTTTTTCGTGTGGAACAGAAAGGCAAGAGGGAATTTGTAACTGGAGATGTGGATGAGGGAGCAATGACCGTCAGTAACCCCGTGTGCTTCATGCGCAAGAGCAGAGCGCGTGGCTTCCTCCCCTCGACGGCTGCTCTGCCAAGCTCAGCGCGGGAAGCAGAAGTGGCACCCGCACCCCTGCCAGCACCCCCGCTCCTCCAGCAGCTCTCGCATGAGGGTTGGGCTTTCTGGAGGCTATTACCCACTGAGATAAGCAAAAACCATGTAAATGGGGAAAAAACCCGAATGTTCTGTTACAGCTGTTCCCTATAGGAAGGGGAAGGTGCAAACTTTTGGGGCTCCCTTGCATTACTTTCCCTTTAGGGCTAGTTGTTTTCTGTTGTTTGCTATGCACTGCAGCATCCTCTCTTTCTAGGGTGGGAAAGGCAGTGTGACACCTAGCTGGCTGAACTCATCTGGGCATGGAAATCTTCACCCTTGTAAACTTGCTCTCTCAGCTCCTCCTGGCATAGCTGCTTTCCTTATTGTATCCCTAACCCAAAACAGTGTGAAGGTCAGTTGCCTAAGAACCAGGCTCATAATTTCCGGATGGTTCTCCTCTGCAGCGACAGAGGTACCAATTTATTTCAAAGCCAAGAGCTGAAACACCAATGGCTTTAGAAGGTGAAGCTTTTGAAAAAGAAAATGTAATTAAAAAACATTTGCAGAAACTTTGCTGACCAATTAAGGTTCTTTTCTAGACCTGTGTGCAATTCTGTGTCACATCTGTGTGTCTGCATATGTCAGACTTTGAAATTTATGGTAGAGTACATATACTATAAATAAAATACAGGCTAGTAGGTCCCTCAGTGGTCCATGCACCAGTTCAGTCCCGTGTTTGGTAACAACACAGGGATTAAGTGAAGCTGAATCTTTGTGCAATGCTAATGCTGGGGTAGGTTTCACCCAAGGTTAGGGAAGCAGCTTGGTGTGCCTTGTTGCTTCTGTGTATGTATGTGCAAACTGACCTGAAGTAATAATGTTAAAGGAGTTGCTTTTAAAGTTTCCTTTTTCCTTTTTAATTGAGATCAGACATCATGGATTGACATCTCTGAAAGCTGCCAAATTTCAGAGCAATTTGCCAGCAGCTCCTCTTTTCCCTTTGTACTATGGTTTGTGGAATTCCCCCTCCCCCATTTGTCAGCTTTCTTTTCCTGTTCAGAGTTTTCACGTGAGTTTCCATTTGGCATTGCCCTGACAAGAATGTTGCTTGTTTTGTTGCTTTCCAGACTTGAAACTTCGGGATTTCCTGATTGACAATGAGACATTCTCAGACTTCCTCCATCATAATGTGTCCATGCCATCATCTGCAGTGCAGGAGCTACTGGATGCAGATGTCAACCTCCAGCAGGTAAAGAGCATTTTCAACTACTACCACAATGTTAGTCTACTGTTTCATCCACAGTGTGGGACCGCTCTGTGCTAGGTGTTCTACAAACACAGACGAAAATTTAATCCCACCTTCTTTCTTCCCTCTTGCCTTTAATTTAATGTCTTACATGGTTATAAGCTGTAAAAGGATGCTGAGACGTGTGGAAGGATGCATTTGAATATTACGTAGTACAAGTGAGTACTGATCACAAATGGGTCCTGCGTGCTCTCATGATGGCCTTCGTAAAGATAGGCAGTGGAGACCCTGTCTTGGGATGGCTGTCTGCCATGTCAAGCTCAAAACACGTGTTTTGCTAGGCTGGATGGATTAGTCCACAAGCATCCTTTCTAATGCAGAAGTCAGAACTGGTTCCTTCAGACTTCAAAGGAAGACCTGTGGTTTTCTTAAGACAGTGCAAAAGGCGATGTGCAAAAGGAGGAAGAAATCCATTCTGCTACCCAACTTCAGTCTAGATCTTCTCTTTAAAGTGGAGTCAATAAATAGTTCTTTCAGACTTCATTTTCATGGAGTTACAGATGCTGACCCCCTTTGCACACGTTGTCTCATTCTTCAGTGAATTCTATCAAGCCATCCGGTTTAGTGTAGTTTGATAATTACTCCTAAAAGTTAAAGATACTTTCTACTAAAATGTTGAAGGCACCATGGTTTCAGATGACTTGAAATGGTTGCAGAGAATTGGCTTGGTGTGACTGGGTGTTTTAGTTTAAGGGTAGGCAGGGTTGTTGTTCTAGGGTCACATGCTATAGGCCTCACTGTGTTTGGAAAGAGGGGCTTTTCTCCAAAAGAGCTTAAAATCTGAGTAAATAAGGTGGGCAGACACAGGGGATGCTGGAAGGTTTGCTCACTTCTACTTTTTTGAGTGAGCATCAAAGCACTGGGAGGCACTGGTTTTCTTTATGTCCTCCCTGGAAGCTGCTTTAGACTCATCTTAGGTCTCCTGAGTATTCTAGAGCCATAGGAATTCCCCTCAGCATGGCTACAATGGCAATAGTATCTCTGCTGGCAAAAAACCTCACCCAAACTGTTTCAAAAGGCCAGCCTTTTTGATACAAGAGCTATCTCATTTATTCAGCTGAGTTTGCAGCATGGAAACATCCTATTTTTGGCATATGGATGCAAACTAAAGTTAAAGGTTTGCACAAGTATTGCATTATAAATCTCTTCCTTCTCCTATTGGTTCCATCTGCTTGTTTTCTGAACATAGTGCATTTTTTTTCCCCCTGGACAATTGATGCCCTTTTGGTTCTGAAAGATGAGAAAATTTTCAGGCTTACCAGTGTGAGTCAGGAACTGCGAACTCCTCTGAGATGCAGATCGATCCTCTTCAGTTCTAAGATAAAAAAAAAAAAAAAAAATAATTTTTTTCTTTTCCACTGGTACATTATCTATCCTGAAATACTGCAAAATGTTTCTCTCAGCAGTGAGTAAAGAGATACATTAGAGGAAGGGAGAAGGTGATCCCCATTCAGAACAGCACAGAAAATGTGCCACGCAGATACATCTACAGAGTTTGGACATAGGTCTTTTGCCCTTCACATACATTAGCCAGACATGTGTCTGGTCACAAGCCTTGTTTTGTCTCTGTGGCTTAGTTCCCAGAAGACTGAAAATTAGGCAATGTCTGTAGCCTTAGTTGGAGGAAATGGCTGCTGTGAAGAACAGAATCACTGCTGCTCTGTGCAGGTTTGTAGAGAGGTGGAGAGAGACTCGCCTCCCCCAGGACTTCTCCCCTGTGTACCCAGCAGAGGAACATGTTTTTTCTTGGAATCGAGTTGTACATGGGTCAGGGCTGCGCAACCTGTAGAGAAGAATGCCCTCTTACCTCTATCTGGAAATGTTATGGTTAGTTTTTTCTAGGAGATAACCAATTTTGTGCTATGAATCTTACACAAAGGGAGACTTACATGATTTCTCCACTTTTCCAGGTCTTTTTATTCGGTTACCGAATGCGACTGCGAGATCTCTGCAATAGATCAGCACTGTCTGAATTTCTTAGAATCCAAAATCAGACGGTGGCCACGGACTCCGAAGCCTACATTTGCACCTTGCCAAAGGAAAAACTCCATGCAGCCGAACAAGCCTTCCGTGCTAACCTGAATCCTTTGAAGCCCCTTCAGGTGAGTCCTCCTGTCCCGCCTGTGAGGGGCTATTGTTGACACAGTGATATTTCCTAGGGCTTTCAGTCTAGGAATTCATCCCTGCGTTTCCAGAGTGAACTGTTCATTGGCAGTAAGAAAGAAGAAAGATTGTTTTTATCACTGGAGCATGAACATTGATTCTTCCTGTCATTCTTACCCTTCCTGTTGCAGTATAGTACTTGCAGAGCATAAACATTTGTGGTCTGCAGTTCAGTTTGTCAAGAGAAAAGTATTTATGCTGAGTAGTAACAAACAGGCTCTTGGTTGTGCCTGTGTTTTGGTCAGATGTTATGTCTTGGCTGGAAAGAGCCCTCTGCCCTTTTGATGGGTCCACTGAGTGCAGAATTTTCTAGCCACAGTCTTTGAGTATGTTCAACTCATACAAAGAAGGCTCAAGTTCTAAAGTCCTGTTTCAAAGATTGACCAACTGAATGGGGTTTGGAGCAAGAATTCATTGAACTTCATGAAAATATGTTATTTAGGGGTGACTGGAGCTGTTTATCTAGGAAACCCCAGTGATGCTTTGTTGTATGTCCGCAGTATCTGGTAAAATTCAAAAGTTTGAGAAAGTTAGTGCTGGAAATATCAGTAGAGAAGAGACGACCACAGAACCCACTCTGTTACCCTCTAAAACAAACACTCTATTGTCTGCTGTGGAAGAAATAAACACTTTGGCTGTGTGAGTTTCCAGATTTGATGAGCCTTTCAGGACAGAAAGTCATGTTCCACTTGCTTGGCTTTGTCCCCAGTCAAAGAGGGTCATTATCAAGTACTGGAATCATATTACTCTTCTGTGCAGTACATAGTGGTCAGTTACTTCTTTCCACAGCTCATCTTCTGTCTTCCACGTGTCCTCCATCTGTATTTTTTCTTTCCTGATGGAAGAGCAAGATAATCATAAGCATTACGAGATGAGGTAACAGCACTAAAATTGTCCCCATAACAAAGAAGGGCTGTTTGAAAAGGAATGGTTATAAGTGGTTTCTTGTGTTCAGTTAGATGCATTCATTTATTTTAAATCATTCAGAGATGCAAGAATTCTGGGGTCTGAAGGGGATGAAAATAGCCAGCTATAGTACATCTCAGTATTGGTCTTCCGGGCCCCCCGGAAGCTCAGTCTGGTTTTCTCATTCATGGCAATCCCTACAACTTAGATGACAGAAGCAGGTACTGAGTGTATCTGTATTTACATCTATATTGTTTGTTGGTGAAAGAAAGCAGTTAGCAGCTACCCTGTGCCACTTGGCAACAGCAAAGTAGATGAAGACATTATGTGCAATTTTGGGGGACTTCTGAGAAGCTGGCTCATGATTTTGGCCTCAGAGGGAAAAAAGCTTGAGTCCAGAAGCCAGCAGTTCTAAACCTGCTGTGTATTGTACACCTTGTTAAGTTTCACAGTTCTCCTCAGAAAAATGTCACAGGCTACCCTCTTGTTAAGCTTCTGTAATGCATCATGAATGAAATAAAACCTGACTGGCTTCAATGTACCTAGGCAAAATGCATAAATTAAATCTAGGATCATGACCAGCACATTTGTAACTTAGTGTTTTTAAAAGCTAAGAAGTGCCTTGACCTGCAGTAACATCTTTGAACAAAGAGGGAACTTTCTGTTCATGAACAAAGGAGGCTTTTGATATAGTTTATCATTAAAGGCATTGTGGGTCACATCTCAGACATGCACACTGAAGATAGCACGTACCATATCTGCTACAGAGCCTGTAAACCAGTGCTAACAATTTGCCCAGAAATTTCATTTTAATTTTTTTTTGCTTAATCCCCTTGATATACTTCACAGTATGGTACTTCAGTGAGTGAAAGTAGGGACCAAATCAAATGCAGGTATACAGCAATTCAGAGGCTTTTGTTGGTGTTTTTTTTCTCATGTAATAGGATCTGGGCTCCACTAGCTGCAGCATTCTGTGATTTATGGAGAGCCAGCATCTTAATATGATTGGGTCAATACAATTGGGGTGAAAATGGCTTGCAACTGTGTGCAATAACTGTGTAAATTCAACACCAAAGGCTTAAATAGTAATATGGGAGGTTTTGCCACTGGAGCAGTAGAGCAGCTGAAATTTCTTGAACTATCTTAATCCAGAAGACGCAGGCCAGCATCTACCTGCTTGTTCCTGCCCCTGTACATTCCCATTTTTTGTTCCCTCTGCAAGACGATGCAGAACATTACATCACGGACTTGATCCAGATTAGAAGTGACCGACCTGATTGTGTGCTTACACAAACATTTGTGCTGAAACATGAAGGGAAGGGTACAAGATTGAGAACCCAGTGATCAGGGTATATGTGTGTGGGGGGGCTGAGACCCTCATGTCTGCACCAGCTTCTGCCAGCGTGTGCATTTGCAGCCTGAGGGAAGCTGTAAGCATTCTAGGTGATTTACAACAAAACAGTAATTATTAGCAAATTACAGATGGAGCACAGTTTTAAAAAGGAAATTAAAGTGCATGCATGGTGAAATACATGAGCTCTGAATGTCACGGCACTGTTAAGGATGTTTTCTTTTGAAAAGAAAGGCAAAAAAATAATCACTTTTCTTTACATACCTGTTCATCAGTTCTATCCAAAACAGCTTGAGTGTTGCCCAAAGTGCCACTGCTCAGTTAAGAAAAAGAAAGACTTCTGATTAAAATTTTCCACTAGGATTTCTAGCTCTGCCACCGATTCTCTGTCTGACTTCAGTTTAGTTCTGTCGGATGAGAAAACAGAGCCAAGCACATAGAGGCATGGCAGGGGGTTAAAGTGTGTTTCCTTATTCCTTCTTATGTAAGAACCTATTTGGGAAGCCTGTTCAGATCAAAATCCAGCAGAATATCCAGGAGTGATCACAAGGCACCAATGCAGAGGATCAGCTTTCCTTATTGACTGAGTATTCACGCCACTAGAAGCAACAAGCGTCTAGAAAAGTCAAATTGGCCTTTCCAAGACACACAACCATCTTCATCCATTCTGTGAAGCTTTTTGGCCAACAGTGAGTACTGTGAGGCACAGCACATCTTGTACGGGCCCCCTGTGGACACATCTTACTGAGATTTACCTTGCACCAGGTGAGACTGTGAGGCGGGAGAAGCTGGTTTGAGAGCAACAGTGAAACAGTACCTCTGATTGCATGCACACAAATTTCCTTTCTGGCTTTCTTCCTGTGCTAGGCCAGCAGTTGTCCCATGGAAGAACTACACAGTTTGCAAAAGGTTACAGGCACCTCTGGTTAGCAAGAGCAGTGGCAATAAGTCAGAGATGTCCCACTGGATTGGTGTTGTGATGGGTGGGGACTGTCTCATACCATAATAAGACTTGTCTGTGGGACAGCTTTGCCTCTGCAAAATTATCTGGGGGGAAGGTTAAATGACAAAGACAGTTCAAATTGGTCCTGTGGGATTTCATCTCTGCAGTGCTGCCTAAGAAGGCCTTTGCTGCACTCACTTCCAGTGGTGTGGGTCTGTAGTAAGTCATAAATATGTTGTGGCTTGTGTACTATAGTGGTCCTTGAAGGAGTGTAGATGAGCTCATGAAAATCTGGCTTTTTTTTAATTTGTTTGTAATCATTTTTTTCCTTTGTAATACGGGTGGTATTTTGTGATATGGTTAGCATGAACTAAGCATTGAATAATAAATGCATTCCAGTTGAAAAATGGCTTTAGAAGAGGTCTCTTAATGTAAATACATGCTGCAACTGAACTTGTGGCTTTCAAGCACAATGATGTCATGCTTTTAAGCAGCTGTACTTTGGGACTTTGACTCCCAGGAAACAAAAGCAGAAGCTTTAAAGCACATGATTTTTCTGCAAAGTCCAATGTAAAGTTTCTGCTGAGATCAGTATAAAGTTGTAATAATTCTTTCAAAGCAAACATGGCACAGTGCTCTTATTGAGCAAAACCAGTTAGCTGTATTATGCAGACATTGGCTGAATTTTATTGTGACCTCTCAGCACTTGAAACACATGCATGTTAAAGAAACACACACCTGTATGTTAAAGAAACAGAGTTGTCCATCCGTTCTAGCAGGAGCTGACAGGTGGACTTATTCAAGGCTTGTCTTGATTGTGCAGTCAACTCTAGTCATCTCAAGTATTTGTCTCTATTTTGAGTCTTGTAGCATGCATGTACAGAGTATACTTGGTGCAATCTGTACCTCAAGAGGGTATGATGCCAGCCACTAACACAGTAATTTTATGGGGCACTTCTGTTCAAAACCTGCTAGAGCTTTGTCTTTCCACTGTGTGACTGAAAAGGGTAGGTGATGGGGGTTTCACAGCATTTCACTGGAAGATTAGTCACTCTCCATCCATATCCCACACCCTCAATGCTGTCTATACACAACCCCCCAGTTGTAGTCCAGACACATACTAAAGACACTCTCACAGTGGGACCAACCTTACTGGAGCTGCATGGAATCTGGAGGACCCTTATGAATGTAATGAACTACTTTACTTGATAAGCCACTGCAGAAAGTTACTTTCCAAGGAAATGCATCTATGCAAAGAAGATTGGCCACTTGTGACTGATTTTTGTCTTTGTCTCTGGAGATACGACTTGAGAGGCTCCCTGAGTGGGCTTTCTGGTGCAAAGGGTGGTGGTAAAGAAGGCAAAATTCCCTCCAGAGCAATGGAGTCATTCACTGCAAGTTCTGATGAGAAATGAACTTGTAGTGCTGTGAATTTGTTAGGGAAGAAAGGTCAGGGTGGTGGGGTGTGAAAGGATAGGTGAATTCTCCTCACATTTCAGGTTCCATGGATCACCTAAGACTTGCATAGTGGGCCAAACCAAAGTCCTGTTCAGCTCAGTGTCCCCTGAGCGCTAATCCAGCAGTGCCACATAATGGAGATATGTAAAAGAATCTAGCCATGGGGCAAGTACCTAACAACATTTTCTCAATGTAATGTCCTATTTGTCAGTAGCTTGCAACTCAGACTTACTCAGCTACTGCTAGGATCTTGGTGTTCAATAGCACCTGGTAAGCTTTTTTGCTTTAATGAATTCTTTTGAGTCTTTCTCAAACCTACATTTTCTCAAACCCGCAATGCTTTCTGTGCCTTCAGCATTGTGTAATATCTACTGAATTTCTCCATTTTGACCAAGTTCTGTGTGCAGTAGCTCCTTTGGTTTGTTTTAAACTGATCTTTTCACTGGAAGCCTTCTAGTACTGTATGATGAGGCGCAGTGAATAATCATCCCCTGTTCCCATTTTACCTCCCACTTGTAATTCCACAGACCTTTGTCATAACCTCTGTTTGTCCTTACAGGTCCCATTGGAAGAACTGTAGTTTATTGTTCTTCCTTGAGAATCCATTCTTATCATACGTCATACTTGTGGCCTTTTTCTGTACTTGTGTTCCTTCAGAGATGAGGCACCCAAAATTGCACATAGTACTTCAGAACCGGGATTGCACTGTAGATTTATATTGATGTTGAGCTGTCTTATCACTGTAATTCTAAGATCTTTCTGTGTGGCAGTACCTAGGTCAGAGCCATCAAAGGGTATCTTAAGGTGTAGAACTGTCTTCTTCCTCTGTACTGTACTTTGCAGCACTTTTATAATTTCATATAATGCATGCAATAATTTATAACAGTGTGATAGCATGTCGCCTTTAACTAATCCTTTGCAATTGGCTTTTAACTTTTCACTGTTCTGAGCCAACTAGTATTATCAAAAATGTCTTTCTCATCCACACTGTTCCTGAATCACCTCCAAATACACTGAACAACACTAATCTGTGTAGAGCTTGATAAAGGTATATGGAGGTGAACAAGCACATGTACTGTCAGGCATGAATCTAGGACTTTCTACCTCATCATGTTGCTAAAGTGGTAGTGCAGCTGTGTAGCTTTGATACTTTCTGACTATATTTCTTTAAGTATGTCTTGAAAGTCTTAACCTGTGAGGAGTTTGAATTTCTTTTCTTTTAGCCCTAATGATATGTCTTGATTTATCTGAATCATAAGGACTGTGTTTACTTGAAATCCACAGAGGTTAGAGAAACCCACCCTGAATTTGCAGCTGTCTCTGAAGCAGGCACTAACTGTACACTCAGAAAAAGCTGGGTCTTAAATGCCTCAAGCAGATCAGTGAAGCAGTGCCTGTTTACAGCATCTGGCACTGACCAGATCTTATCACCTTCCAGCAAATCAACTGGTACAAATGAAAGCCTCCAGACTTTGCTTCAACAGATTACCCCAGGAAAGATGTGAAAATGGAAAGCTTCAGCCCAAAAGATGTGTGCTAAAATGAAGGGCCTTGGCTGTTCCTCTGTGTGTCACAATGCTCTAACTTTAGCATGCTTTCAGATGCCGCAATGTGTAGCTGCTAATATGAAATATTAGGAAATTATTTTAATCTTCATTCCCTTGAAACGTGGATTGTGTCCAAATATTTCCCATGTAAGATAATCCAGATATGTGAAAAGACATGGAAAAGAGCCCCACAAACCAAAACCCAGGCCCACTGGTTACATGTAGAGCAACTGGAAACAAGGTGTTATCTTCACTGTGACTCTCTGCTAGAGCAAATATTTTCCTGAAAGCTGTGCCTTCCACTTTTGGAAACCTGTCAGTCTTGTTCTTGTGGTGATGGTGAGTGTAAGCTGTTTCATGGAAGCTGGTTGTTTTAAAATACATCCTTAGTTTAGATAAAAAACATCCAGGCCTGGTGGAAGGACTTGAGTGATGAAGATGACGACCACTGCAGCAGGAGTTCTCTGCATCTGAGCTGGTATTTGTGGAGTCCCAGTAAAAGCTTGTGTCTTCGAACTGGCCTTTTCCTCTCTTGTATAGATTTTGCATTCACTTCTTAGCACTGGCTGGAAGGATTTCAGCTCTGTCCACATGCTGTCCCATAGGCTGTGCTTGTATTGTGTGACCTGGAATGCAAGCCGTCCTCTGCACTTTAAGTGTACATGCATGCATTTAGCATTTTATTGGGATGGTTCTGGTTATACCATCTGTGTACCTAACCTGTGAGGAAGAAAAGGGGTGTCCCCATCTCATGGTGGGTCACTGAAGGCCACGGTATTGTAAGCTCAGGGTTGCACAGAAAGCCAGCTCTGTCTTTCCCATCAAAGGGCTTTGCTGTGTAAACAGTCTTCACTACTCTTCTTTACAAGAATGTTTACAAGAGTTTAATTTCTTTGTGCCCTGCAGTAACTTCTATTTTCCTTTTCTCTCCTTCTGCAGAGACTTTCTTTCAATTCATCATTGTGGGACCTGTCAGAAACAGTGGAAGCTCTGAAAGAGAGCCTTCAGAAGCTTGTTAAAGAGGTAAGGAGTGACTTCGTGTCAGGTGTACACATCACCTTGGTTGCTGTCTTAACCTGCAAATCGAGTACAAGCATGAGTCTCCTTGGTGTAACTCAGAAGTCAAATCCCTCGTTTGTTTTGGAGTGCCCCCCATCCTGCAGCCGTTCTCTGTGTCTGTAGAGGTAGCATGCACTTTCCAACCCATTGACAATTTCTCTTACAAACACCATAGGAGTTTATCAGATGTGTGGCTAAAGATTTGGGTCCTCACGGCGGGGGGGGGCAGGAAGGGGGGAGCAGGAATTAATACGTTTTCTGTGGGTTTTGGCTTCTCATCAGTGGCACAGCTGTTGGGCTTGCCATACACGTGCTGTCTAGCAATGCCTTGCAAACTGAATGTAAGGTTTGCTGCCTTTCCATTTTTTTCACTCAGTTGCCAACCGTGTCAGGGTTGTTACTCGGTTGTAGGTACTGCTTCTTGGGTGCCGTGAAGGTATGGCATACGGAACAGATGTTATGGCTGTTCCAATCTAGATTAGTAGCTTTAGGCTACTGTTTGCTCTTTGACTAGGTTTTTGGGGGAGAGATTGTTTTCCAGTTTTTGTGGGGCACTCAGTGCAATGGCATCACGACACTGGCTGAGAAAAGCTATGGCAAAGCATCATAGCGATTTACAGAGGCGAAGTGACCTTATAGAGACTGCAAGTATTTGTTTTTGCAGGTGAAATGATGGATTAAGAAAATTTAGCCCTGTGTGCCTAGCATGAATCACAAGTCCAAAACTTGAGGGGGGAGGGGGCTTGAGCCATCAATTTGTCTTAGTTGCTTTTTGGCTGGCTCTGACTTTGACGTGGTGCTACCAGGCAAAAAACATTTTCTCCCTTGAAGCAGAAATCGCAGCAATCTAAACTAAGCACCGCTGCCGCCACCTCCTCCTCCCTTTCTCCCGTCTTCCGCGTTTGCAGCAGAGGAAGGGAGCCGAGCGCGGTGAACGGCAGTAACCCCTGGGAGCAAGCACCAGAGCGGGTCACTTCAGGTTAGCCTGCGCTCCACTCCCACAAAGGGGCAGCTGCCGGGAGCCAGCGCCGTGCCAGCCAACAATTCCTGGCACGCATCCCTCCCTAGTCCCACAACCTGCCGCCGGGTCCCATTTACAGTGAAACTAAGACGATTGCAGGATCAGCTTCGGCTAAGACCGTGGCAGGGCTCTCGCTGCTGGCAGGGAGGCTGCCCTTCGGAGTTTGATTACAGCTGTTTCCCGTTGCGTCACTTCAGCTCGCCTTTTTTTCTCGTCTAGGATAAAAATAATTGAAACCATGTGATACTCAGTTTGCTGATGTGGCCGAAAGCGTCCCAGGGTAACGTGCCTTTTGCTTGGCAGCTGTTTTGGGTAGGACTACCTTTTATTCTGCCCTATTGCTGTGCAAACAAAGGCAGCTATTTTCCTCTGTGTACTGCGTGAGCTGCTCCAGATGGCTTGACCGAAAGTTACTTCTTATTGTCTGGCAGGCCGATTTCTGTGTGAAAAGGAGGGACTTGCTCCCTTGTTTCAAAGGGCAGCAGCTTCAGGGGGTGGAGAGAACTATTGTTTTGTGCCATGTCTAGGAGCCTTTCTAGCAAGGAATTTTAATTAGAGAATGGTCTGAACAAAATATTTATCTCTGAGTATGGGGATTGATTTGATCTGTGCCCCTGGGCTCTTTAAATCAACTTAACTGGGCAATTTAAATGGTGAGAGCAAGGGCAACTATTAAACACTTAAAGCCAGGTCTGATGTTGGAGAGTAACCCTTAAAACATGAGATACTTGCTTCCAGTATTTCTGCATGTCAGTTGCAAAGTTGTTGGTGCCAAAGATGAAACAAAGCTCCTTGCTCAAACTGTTTTAAAATTATGTGTAAAAAATGTATATGATAATGCAGTCCCTCTGCAAGATGATTAATACCTCATACTTTCATGGTAATTAGCTACGCCTCCTATTTGTGTGCCTTTGGTAATGTTAGGGAGATTATGGTACTTCAGCTAAATCAGTTGACTTTCTGCTGAGGAAAATTTTACCTGAGGTACCAAAAACTCCCCAAGGCATCCTTTTGAACTGAACACTCAAAACTGCCACACCTGAAGTTCAGCCTTGGCCTTTGGGTGTCGAATCATCAAATCCAAAAATCCACATAAGCATATGTAACCAGCAAAAGCTGTTGTGACATTATTTTTGTTTTCGTTCTTGTCCCTCGATGCTGGTATCCTGTCAGTCACCCTGAACCTGTGGAGACAGATTGAGTGGCACCAGGGTGCAGACAAAGACAGCAGTGAGTAGAGAGGAAATGAAAGTACACTTGAAGCAGTCACTCTGGACAGACATATTGAATACCCAAGCTTTAGCTGTTCTTACAGCTGTCTTCTACCATATCAATGTGTCATGTGTTTTCAGGCAGCTAAAAATAGAGGCTCCCTGTATGACACATAGTGGCTGCTGTTCAGCATCCAGAATTTCTGTCCAGGTGTTGGCACGTCTAAAGCATGCACAGAACACAAAGGGCCAGGTTTGCCTCCCAGTGTAAGGCCAGGGATTCTGGGCATGCTTTCTTTGGGTGAATTTGGATTGAGCTGTTCCAGCACAAAGTTGCCTTCTGCGTTGTTGCTGGCTGGCTTTGTCCTAGACTTCCGTTATCTGTATTTCGTTTAAATAAAGGTGACAAAACTAATACGCAGTGAGGAAAACTGGTAGATGGGATTTGGCTGACTCTGTTATTGTCTCTGAAAATAGGGCAGTTGGGCCACAGCATCTGAAGTTGTTTCTGAAATGTAGCTGATGAGCAGTTACGAATAGGTGTCTCGGCAGCTCTGCTTGCTCTTCTTTAATACATGTTGCTGTTCTGGGCAGCACAGCAAGAACATCCAAATTAATGTCACCTGATATTTCGGTAGCAGTCAAGGAATCGAATCAAATGCTAGAAAAGATTTAAAAAGGGATAGACAAGCAGCTGTAAGATGTTAGCATGATACTATATAAAACTGTGGATTATCTGTCTAATATGGAATACAGGTCTCAATCCTTTGTCTCCAAAAAGGGGTAGCAGAACTGGAAAAAGTTCAGAGAAGGGCAACTAGGACATTTAGAAGTAGAATAACTTTCACACAAGGAACAAGGGAGTAGCCTGGGACTTGTTAGCTTGGAAAAGAGAGGAGTTGGGGATGTGACAGAGGTCTAAAGAATTGAGTGGCCCAGAAAAAAAGAGATAAGGATTGAATGTTGTCTTTTCCAGTGCAGAAGACATGGCACCAAATGGAGCTAAGCATAGCCAAGTTAAGGAGAGGGGAGAGGAGGTTCTTTACAGTGAATGTGTTTGGTGTTAAATACTTGTGGATGTTCAGAACTCCAAGAGTTTACCATGGAATAAATTCATTGAGGGTTAGGAAATACAAGTTCCCCAAGCTGAAAATAATTAGCAGCTGGAAGGTTACTTGGAGAGGTACCCTGCTTTCTTGCCCTTGCCTTGTTTTTTCCTAACATCCACTTATTGTCACCATCACAGAGATTACTGAGGTAAACAGACTTCTAGTCTGTATGTACACACCTCTGCTGATGTTACATCTTCAAGCAGAGAGCGATGCTTGAGTGTGCCATAAAACTCCCTTGTGCTGAACTTGGCCATGTCTCTGAGTATGGCAACATTAATGCAGTGAGTGTCTCAGGCTGAGAACCTGGTGGTTTTGTTTGTGACACATTGCAGGTAGATGCTTATGCCAGACAGATGAGCCTGGTGTCAGGCCAGTTGGTCAAGAGAAGGCTCCTTGCTGTGGCTAGCTGTGTCCACAGCTCGTGCTGCGATCAGGCTCCAGGCTGCAGCTGTGCTTGTTTTCAAGGGTATTCTGGGAATGCTGTTGGCAATGGGGCAGGGAGGTGCTGAGGCAGGGACAAGTGATACCAGTCTAGGAGGTCAAACTGGCTGCCTGGAGTAAATCGGTGGAGGTTTGCTGGCCTTGGTGGAATTGTGCCAGGTGACACTGCTGTGGCCTGCAGCTCATCTGTGGCTGTGTCCCATGGGCTGCGCTCCCTTCATGTTGTTCTTTGCTCCATCTTCTGACTCAGTGCACCGCACCCCACTCGGCATGAAGGGGGCTCCACTGGAATGTAAGCTGTTGAGCAACCAGGAGGAGAAGCAGCTTCCACGTGAGAGGCAGGAACCATCCACAGGACTGGAGGAGAAACCTTGAGAGTAAAGAGTTTGGCAAGGGCACATTCCATACGCTTGCATATACAGAAGAGACTTCTTTCCCTCTGTTCTGCCACCATGGCAGGGAAAAATGTGTTTTTCCTTGTCTTTACTGTCAAGGTTGTGTTCAAGGTGATTCTCCTCTGTTCAAAAAGAGATGTGTGATTTGAAAGAAAGTGGCAGGATCTCCTTTTGCTGATCCTATTCCTATCCCTGTTTCCACTCTCTTTTCCAACCTCCCCTTCCAGTTGCTGAGCATGAAGAGCTGGAGTGACATGAGGCAAGAGGTGATGTTCCTGACCAATGTGAATGCCTCGAACTCCTCTACACAGATCTACCAGGCTGTGTCACGTATTGTGTGTGGCCATCCTGAAGGTGGAGGGCTCAAAATTAAATCTCTCAACTGGTATGAAGATAACAATTACAAAGCACTGTTTGGAGGCAACGGCACTGAAGATGATGTAACTAACTTCTATGATAACTCCACAAGTAAGTGTGACTGTGGCATGGCCCATCTACTTTGTGGTTGTCATCACTAGTGTTTCCCAAACTTACACAGGTGAAATCCTAAGGGACAGCATACCTTCTGTTTCAGAAAGGCATGCCCATGATGCCTCCTGCACATGCCCTTAAGGCCAGCAAGGATACCAACATGCAAGGGATTTCCAGGGGCTTTGTGCAGAGTCCACAGAAGGATGCGCAGCTGACCTCCTTTGAGGGCAGAGGGAGTACAGACATGTGCAGGCTTTGGAAATCTGGCCTTTTCTGGACCAGTTTTGTTCATGCCATGCAGTGGGGTTGTGGGAGTGGTGCAGAACCAGCAGTGTGGCTCTTAGTGCTGGAGGCTACCTGGGTGCTTTTGTGTTTTTGGGGCAGACTGTGGAGGCTGGGACTGAAAAAAGGGGCTTTTTGTGGAGCTTTGCAGTAGAGATGGGGTTTTGTTGTCTGACAAATGCTGTGCTGTCAGCTGGGATTGTCCTTGAAGCCCACACAAATGGGGCATAAGCCTTCTGCAGTTGTTGCCATGCTGTTCATCCACTCACCTTTGTCCTCTCCTCCTCAGCACCGTACTGCAATGAGCTGATGAAGAACCTGGAATCCAGCCCGCTTTCCAGGATTATCTGGAGGGCTTTGAAACCGTTGCTGATTGGGAAGATCTTGTACACTCCAGACACACCAGCTGTAAGGAAGGTCATGACTGAGGTAACTCTAGCCTTATCCTCTGATATGTAGAATGAGGTATGTTCTCTGGCAGAGCTGCACTAGTTAAATTGGGCCCAAACACAAGCCTAGAAAGGATTGCCTACAAACCACAGCCTTCCTAAGTCTGTCACCTCCTGTGCACTTGGTCTTGTATGCTCAAGGAGAAAAGGCCAGGCTGAACTCTTCTAGACTTGGCTAGAACCTTTCCTGGTCATGCATTTTGGTTATGCACAGGCTTTGCATCTCTGATACAGGATATCAGGGAAGGACCTTACCAGGCCTTCAGGTGTCCTTCCTCTGCTCCACTGCAGGCTGGTCAGCAGATCCTTAATCATTTCTGATTGTGGTTTACCTAATGTGCTGTCTAATTCCCCAAGCTCCCTCAACAAGACTCTTCTAGCACATGGGGAGTGGCTGCCCCGTGTGCCCTTCATCTCCAACGCAGAGTCATTCGCCACCAAGGCTTGAAGCGCAGTGCTTAGCCACAGACATCCACACTCCCTGTTGTTGTTTTTCTTACAAGTGCACTTGATTTTCTCTACTCTGATCCTTGCAGAAGCTGAACTGCTGTTTGAATATAAGCAGCACTCAGTACTTTGCTTGACAGGTCAGTGCACCCTCTCAGCCTGACGTGGATCTCTGCCAGCTTTTGGAAATAACCTTCCTCTCCTCTTTGCCAACAGGTGAACAGGACATTCCAGGAGCTGGGTGTGTTTCGTGACCTCGGGGGGATGTGGGAGGAGATAAGCCCGAAGATTTGGACGTTTATGGAAAGTAGTCAGGAAATGGATCTCATTCGGGTCAGTACACTGTCCCTGCCAGAACCACTACTGTCATCCTCTGCAATAACTGATGAAATATTTACTTAAGATGGTGCTTCACTGCTGCGCTGGCAGATAAATAGTATGGATGAGACTCCTTCTTGAAACATGTTGTGTTTGTACAAATCTTGCATTATGCTTGGCATTCCTTCCTTCATGTAACAGCCTGCTGCAAAAAAGGAGCAGTGTGTGTTAACACCCGCTAACATCTGCTCCTGTGGGGAAATGGGCTACTTCTGCCACAGTGTTTGCCCTAAGGCAGTATGAATATCTGGCTTGGGGTATTTTTGTAAACTGGAGACCTCTGGGGTTGTTGACATGTTCGGTTTCCTCCGCTGTGCACCTCTCCACAACAGTGCTCTCATGATAGCAGCAGAACATGTGGTCGTGTACCTAGATCAGATGCTGGAAGGTGCCAGGTGGCCTTGCGCTCTATTGGGTGCAGTAGGAACTGAATGGTTGTCATGCTAGATAGAGCTGAACCTAGGTGCCTGGCAGTATCTGGCACAAATCTTGTAAAAACTTAATTTGGAGTTGCGCGGTACACTTAATTTAGTAATACTTGGGTGCTCATGAGAGAAGAGCAAACATCACGCTACGGCCGGTCACTTCATAACATGCCATGCATATCAGACCATGAAGAAGGGCTGGGATTAGTGTTTGGATTTGATAATCTTTCTGCTAGCCTGTTGGCTCCCTGGAGCATTGTGCCATGTGTTAGACCTGCATTATTAACAGGGCATTATCTGCTTAAGTGGCTTAGCTCATTGTTGCTTCCCTCAGGTGCAACTCTGAGGTGTGGATCCCCGCACCCTGTACTGGTGTCTTTGGAAGCACAGCAGTGTGAAACAGAGATCACACAACACAGAAACAGTTGTAGCTTTTCCTGCTGTTGCTGCAAAGCGGCTGGTTGGGTGTCCTGGTGCAGCTGTTACACGGAGACCTCCCCAGGTCTTTTAAGCCTTGAAGTTCAATCCTTGTTTACCCGATGTAAGGCTCTGCTGAATTGTCTTCCGTTGTACTTCTTCATCAACATGACAAACACTAGGGTCAGAGACATCATTTTCATCACTCCTGTCTCTCTGTTGGCTTTATGAAAGTTAATTCTGCAGATACTGGCATCAGGGAGGTGAGAACTGGGGCCACCAACTGTAAATTGAGCTGTTTGCTGCAGACTGCAGACAGGAAGTCAAAGTTTGGATATTGGTTTGCAGTCCTGTCTTATGAAAAGTGAATATTGCTTGCTTTTTTTTTTTTTTTTAAAGAGCTCCAGGCTTTTCTGCTTTTGTGTTTTATGCTTCTTGTTAACCCTGCTGGGTCTTGTAGTTAATTCTTGATCTTTCCAGCAGGCTGGTCTCTGCCTCTATATTGGTTCAGTAGCAGGGGTTCATTTGTTGTCTTCTATTGCAGTTCACACAAGCAGGAGTACTTCACTGTCAGTGCCTCGGCAGCTCCCAGGCACTATCCTGTTCGGCTTAGAGATGCAGCACAGATCACTTGTACATAAATAGGCTGAAACATAGAGTTGCTTGTTTATAGCTGCCTTCAAGGCAAGGTCGGCCTTTTGCTGTTTGTTAGCCACTGAGGCTGCCATACTGCTGGGTGGCTGGTCACCACCTCCCAGCTTTTTGGGTTGTGCAATCTTTTTGGCATATTGCTTCCTGCTGTAGGAGAGGAAAGTGCTTTGCTTGCCCATCTCTGGCACTTCCAGTTTGATGCTCCTGCAGCTGGTAACATCAAGGAAGACAACACGTGCCCCTGTGGTCAAGGAGGTTCACTGTTGCTACTGCACATGATGAGGCTGAGCCCCTTTCCTGCAGGCACGGTGCCCTTTCTGCTGGGGGTGGCAGCGTGAGCCAACCTTGAGAGACCAGATGCGAAGAGAGCACAGTGCAGCTGATTCTCGTTTGCTTGGATTTTCCTCTTGCATGTTCTCCTTTGCCAGTGTGGCCTGTTCTGTTTCCCCAGTTCGCGAAGCTGTGATTGCAACTGTGTGAGCCATTGCTTTCTGACTTGCTTGTAACAGCAGAGCATGAGGAAGCTCCTCACTTCTCCACTTAGTTCTTTGTTCTGGCAGAAAATCCATTCCCAGTTTTATTGGTTAGGATTTTTACAGTTTTCTTTCTTGTGCAGGCTTTTTTTCCCCTCTCCCTGCCTTCATCTCAGCTGTGTCCTTTACAATTAATGCTCTTCTCCTGCCTGTGTATTGTCTGACCAGTGGACAGGTTTCTGCTTCAGTGCCAGGTGCTTCTACCTGGACTGCACTTGTGTGGTGCATTGTGCATACATGTAGTAGGGCAGTGGTCCATCCTAAGGAAGCTAGGAGTTAAACCAGGTGAAAAAAGCACTGTCCCAGACAGGAGAATAGAGAGGCAGGACATCACAGCTATACCAGGGCTGCTTCAGCCAGTGTTGATGGTTCCGTGCCACAGCCCCTCTCCCAGCCAAGAGCCGAGGTTGTTCGGGAGAGGTGAGCAGAGCTTGGTAACCACCATCCGCAGAACGTGTTTCTCTGTGCGCACATCAGGACCTGGTTTGCATGTGCAGAGTGCAGAGCTATGCGTGGCTCTCTGCTGCCCTCTCCTTGGGAGAGCGGTGGCAGGACATGGAGGCAGGCAGCCAGCCAGCCTGCAAAGCGCTCCCGATGGGTGCTTTACAGAGGGAGGACAACCTTTGCAATGGGAGGGTAAAAGGAAGGACCCCACCACACTCATCTTTTTAACGTGGCAGATGGCCTCTCCCTAAAGTGTTTTCCCCCATAGTAGTTGTTTCTATGATGGGAGAGGAGGTCAAACCTTAATTCTCAACAACTGTTTCTCCTTTGAAAACAAAATACCTGCAGACATTGCTGAAAAGCAAAGCTCTCTGGGACCTGCACTTGCCGGCTTCCAACTGGACAGTGGAGGATGTTGCTCGGTTCCTCTCAAACCAACCAGAGGACTTTGAGACAGCAAATGACTCGGTGTATACCTGGGTGGATGCCTTCAATGAGACAGACCGCGCTATCCAGACCATATCCCGTTTCATGGAGGTGAGATCCTGCTCATGCGGGCAAGGAGCTGGGGAAGGCAGCGGCTTGGTCTCCACCTGCCCTGTGGAATGTTTCTGCGAGGGGAAGATAGATGTTCCTCAGTCCAGACAAAAGTTGCGTGGTCCACTCCCCATTCTGGGGAGACCTATAGCAGCCTTTCAGTCCTTAAAAGGGGCCTACAAGAAATCTGTAAAGGTTCTTTTTACAAGGGCAGGTAGAGAGAGGACAAGACGGAATGACTTTAAACTGAAAAAGGGTAAATACAGATTAGATATTAGGAAAGAATTCTTCCCTGTGAGGGTGCTGAGGTGCTGGCATATGTTGCCCAGGGAAGCTGTGTCTGCCCCATCCCTGGCAGTGTTCAAGGCCAGGTTGGATGGGGCTTGGAGCAACCTGGTCTAGTGGAAGGTGTGGTGGGGGATTGGAACTGGATGAGCTTTAAGGTCATTTTTAACCCAACCATTCTATGATTTTCTGTAAATGACCAGGGTTTTGTAGTCTTGAGTGCATGGTAGAAAATATCATTTATTTATGTGCCTAAATATAGATGTGGGAACCTAACTGTAGGCCTTTTTCTTGAAGTTCTTGCTTTGGCCTCTCATGTGGTTTCCCACCCTGTTGTTACAGGGCGACTGAGAGCTGCTGCTTGCTTTGGCAGTGCAGCAGCTCCTGTTTCAGTCTGGGGTTTTAGCTGAGGACTGTGGTGAAGCTAGTAGCTGCTTAAAACTGAGGAAGATGTAGTGAATAATGAAATTTGTTCTGCTTATTACTTGATTGTCTTGGCAGATGAGTGTAAACAGAAACAGGCCTTCGCTTGTCAGGGGCCTCGTCCAAAGCCTTCGTGTTTCTCCCCTGATTTTTAGAGGCCTTCAATCAGACCTAGTTTATGGGTAACAGAGGAAATAAGACTATGGAAATTGATGCTTGGATGGGATCCTGTAGCTGATATGGCAATGCTGCCTGACCTTTTATCCAGAGAATACCTCTGCTGGGTTATTTCTCAGTGATATATATTTGACTGGCAAGTGGCCATCAAGAACATTCTGGTTTTGCAACTTTTCCCATAAGCGCTTCCACATCTGTCCCGTTTTAGTGTGTTAACTTGGACAAACTGGAGCCTGTGGCCACAGAAGTACGGCTTATAAACAAGTCCTTGGAGCTTCTGGATGAAAGGAGGTTCTGGGCTGGTGTAGTCTTCACTGAAATAGCTCCTAACAGCACAGAGCTCCCTCAACATGTGAAATACAAGATACGCATGGATATCGATAATGTGGAAAGGACCAACAAGATCAAGGATGGGTGAGTCCTGGCATCCTGCCGTATGAGCAATTTCTCATGGGGATGTGGTGATGAGGATTTCTAATGGGAAGGTCTTGTTCCCTTGGTACAGGTACTGGGATCCTGGTCCCCGTGCTGACCCCTTTGAGGACATGCGCTATGTTTGGGGAGGCTTTGCCTACCTGCAGGATGTGGTGGAACAGGCCATCATCAGGGTGCAGACAGGCACGGAGAAGACAACAGGCGTTTATGTGCAGCAGATGCCCTACCCTTGTTATGTGGATGACATGTACGTATTCCGGCTGCTCAAAGGCACACAGGAGGATTGTGGCTTGGGAGGCATGGGCTTTTGTCACTCCTCAGGCATGTTTATGTCCTTACTATCAATGGCAGAGCAATCTGTTCAGTGTTCCTAATTCCTGGAACTAGGGCACCTGCATGGTGTGTTTAGAATATGTAATAACTTGCAGAGTCCCTCCCAGGAGAAGCCTGTCTATACAGGACTTTCACATACAGAGTACATTCCTGAGACGTGGCCATGGCCATATCTCCAAACCCGATTCAGACAAAAATAGCACTGGGAAAAAAAGTGGAGACCTAGGCACAAGAGAGTGGAAAGACAACAGCTGAGAACAGTCCCCAGGGAAAGCAGGTCTTTGCACCTTCTCTTCTACTGAGCTGCAACTCCAGCTCCCACTGCGGGCTGGTAGTGTGCTCTAGACCCATCAGCCTCACCTCGTGGTGAGACACTAATCCTATGCTGCTTTGTGTAGTGAAGCCTTAGCTGTCACATGCTGCGCTAGACCTGAGTGGTACCTGAAGTTGCAATGATGTTTCTCACTCACTTCCTGGCCTCTTTCCTTCCTTTTCTCAGATTTCTGCGTGTCATGAGCCGCTCTATGCCTCTCTTCATGACTTTAGCCTGGATCTACTCAGTAGCTGTGATAATTAAGGGCATTGTGTATGAGAAGGAGGCCCGGCTGAAGGAGACAATGAGGATTATGGGACTTGACAATGGCATCCTTTGGCTAAGCTGGTTCATTAGCAGCCTCATCCCTCTCCTGATGAGTGCAGGCTTGCTGGTGCTGATCCTTAAGGTGAGTTGGCTGGGTTGATCTGCGGCAGCAGAATCTAGAGTCTTGAGAGCCTACTAAACAGTTATCTGCACTGGCATGCTGAGGGGGAGTTAGTGTGTTAGCTTGTGTGTTGACCAGCAGCTTTCTGAAACAGGGTTATGGCTAGGTGGCTGAAAACAGCAGGGGGTTTTGTAGAAGATTCAGTGCTTTTGAAAAGGTACCACTGCTGGGGAGGCTGCTATGCAAATTGCAGCAAGCCCAGCCTCCATAAGCAGCAGCTCTGCAGACCTGCTTGTACTAGAGTCGCCTTGGAGAGCCCTTTCAAATCCTGATGCACCTGTTTTTCTCCTTCCAGATGGGGAATCTGCTGCCATACAGTGACCCGAGTGTGGTCTTTGTTTTCCTCTCGATCTTTGGCGTTGTGACCATCCTGCAGTGCTTTCTCATCAGTACCATGTTCTCCAAGGCCAACCTGGCAGCTGCCTGTGGTGGCATTATCTATTTCACACTGTACCTGCCGTATGTGCTGTGTGTTGCCTGGCAAGACTATGTCAGCTTCTCACTCAAGATATTTGCGGTGAGTCTTGAGGAAACTGTCCTGGGTACCAGGCCTCCACCAGTATGGCACTCAGCAGCTCTCTAGCTGGACACTAATAACAAGGGGGGAGGTACCAATGGGAAGAGATTTTCCAGTGTAAGAGGCTATCAGGACTGGGTTTGGTGAAGTGGTTGACTGAATCTGCTAGGAGCTGCTGGAAGAGTTTTGTTTGCTTTGGTAGTAGAAGTAATTCAGCCAGACTAAGCTGCCTTGGCTAAGCCAGACTAATCTGTAATGCTGTACCACCAGATATGCAGGCTGAAGAAACCAGCTGCCTCTCCTCTGCTCAGCAGTTCTTAACCTGTCTGGAGAGGGTGGCAGTTAATGATCTCCTCCTTAGCATTAAAGTCCAAAGAGCAAGGGAAAGAAAACAGGGAAGCAAACAGTTCTGGGTGATGGTCCAGCAGAGACTTCAGGCCTTGATTGCTGGCTGGAACCAAGACTGAGTTTGCCGCTCCCTCTCTGCAAGTATGGCCAGGCTCCTTGGATCTTTGACTTCTATAAGGGTTTTGGGCCACGTCTCTTAGCCTTGTGCTAGAGCAGAGCTGTCCAGTTGGAGAGTAGTTGTGGAAAACTGAATGCATGCTCATGTCTCCCATTTGTAGAGCCTGCTGTCTCCAGTGGCCTTTGGCTTTGGTTGCGAATACTTTGCACTGTTTGAAGAGCAGGGAGTTGGTGTTCAGTGGGACAACTTCTTTGAGAGCCCATTGGAAGAAGACGGCTTTAGCATCACCACATCTGCTGTCATGATGATGTTTGACACCTTCCTATATGGTGTCATGACCTGGTACATTGAATCTGTCTTCCCAGGTGAGGTCTGCTTCTGAGGGAGGATCATGTCTTCACAATTTTAAATAGATCCTTTCACCTACTGATTTACCAGTGTGGAAATTGGGTCCATTTTAGGCAAGGCTGCAGGAAGCTCATGGAGTAGAACCACACATGAGCATCACAGTAAGGTTGTTGCTGCTAATAACAGTGACTATTGCCCAGCACAAAGGCTGTGCCCCATTGTGGCCATGGTTGAACTAGTCCCAGAACCTTTGCCGTATTTCAGCTGTTCCCTCCTTTGCACTGCTAAATCAACAGGCCCTGCTGCAGGGGGGAAGTTGAGAGTATCAGCACCACACGCGGCTGCTTAGCACCTTCCAGCACAGGGCTTTTAACTATATAGTGAAATTTGGTCTCTTACCTGCAAAGTTTGACAATGTCTTCATCAAGAAAGATCTCTTCTTAGGCATGCCTAACTTAGAGGCTTACTGGAGGTTGAGTACTTCCCTTCTTGTCCTGAAAGCTAATATAAGAAAAGGGATAGATACAGTCAGGCTCATGTAATGCTTTTCTCTTTAGGCCAGTATGGGATTCCCAGGCCCTGGTACTTTCCTTTCACGAAGTCGTATTGGTTTGGTGAGAAACCACAGGACAGGGAGCACCGTTATCCTGACCAGAAAGGGCCTTCAGAAGGTAGGTGCTGCATATACAGGCTTTCTGTAGTGAAGTGTTATAGAGTCTGCTTTTTTGAAATGAGTCAAGGACAACAGGGCTGACATGGCTAAGGTGAAGTTAGTCATCCCTTTGTTATCATGGTTAGGTGCCCTGATCAGATCCAAATAAACCCAAGGTACTGTGCCCACTTGGGTGCAACTGGGTACTCCAGCCTCATGGAGTTGAGAATTTCTCACAGTTTTGCTGACCCTGGTGACCCTGGAGATCTCCGAGTTGAGCTCAGTAGAGAGAAAAGAGCTAAAGGACAACTTCTATGGAAGGTTCCTGTCCCTGAGGAAGAAATATGGTCAGTTCTTCATGTAGCTTATTTCAGTTTGGATCTCCATAGACCTGGGGGAATGTGATGTTTGTTAGAACTCCTACAGAGTTGCTGTTAAAACCTATCATCTCTCTCTCTTGCTCTGTTTTCATCTAGTCTGCAAGGAGGAAGAGCCTACACATCTAAGCCTTGGTGTTTCCATACAGAACCTGGTCAAGGTTTATCGTGATGGCAAGAAAGTTGCTGTAGATGGTCTCACACTGAACTTCTATGAAGGACAAATTACCTCCTTTCTGGGACATAACGGAGCAGGGAAAACCACTACCATGTAAGAACAAAATAATTGTTCAAGACACTGGGGGAAGTGACTTTGAATAACGCAGTTCCTATCAGCATGGTAGAGGTAGCTGTACAATTGCAATGTGCAAGCTGGTGCAGAACGGCTCAGTGCAGCTCTGCCAATTTACTGTAGTTGTGCTGCTGCCTCAGAAGATGCACAGTTACAGGGAGCTGAAACTGGAGGTGGTTCAAGTTGAGGCAGCACCGAATGAATCTGCTGGCAGCATTTTTTAGTAATGCCATTGTGATTCTTACTTACTGGTGTAAGGAAACAAGTTGGAACTAAAAGGATAAGAAGCTTTTAGAGGAAAAACTACTTGCTTTAAGCAGAGTCATGTGGGTGTGCTTTGATCACTGTTAAAACCATTTGAGCTGATATTTTTTTTTAATCCGTTAGTGAGATGTTTCTTAGACTGCTTTCCTCATGTGGGAGTTCCCCAGGGCTTCCACCCACTCTTCATTCATCCATCCTGGCACATGCAGGAGCTGTTTCCTAGAGGTGGAACCTGATTATCTGTTGTGTTTGTCCTTCAGGTCCATCTTGACTGGCTTGTTCCCCCCAACGTCGGGTACAGCCTTCATCCTGGGCAAAGATATCCGCTCTGAGCTCAGCAACATCAGACAGAACCTAGGTGTCTGTCCACAACACAATGTGCTGTTTGACTTGTGAGTAGCATCTGTGAGATGCAGGGCTGGTGTTACTCAACAGTTGTTTGGGTTCTTTAGGAAACAGTAGTATGCTTTCAGCTAAGACATTCATATCTTTATCTGTCCATGGTGTGAGGTGGTGTGAGATCAATATAAGGATATTTGTACATTGGCACATTTGTACATGCCTGTGAATTATCAGTAAGAGTCTACACTTTGATCTTTTGTGTATCCTTTAAAGAAATCTACTGTACTAAATTTAACTAGGCCAAATGTTTCCCCAGTACCTAGTGATTTGGGATGTTTGGGGTACTCTGTTAAGCACCCTTAAAGGAGGATTACTTACATTAGTGCTGAATAGCCACACCCTGAAATCAGGCCAAGCTGAGCACACCCAGTCTTGTAGTCTCTTCCTGAAACCTTGGCCTTAAAAGATGTTTTCCCAAGCAAACAAACATGTCTGCTGTAATGCTAATGCAAGGGATAAGCCCAGCATGGTGCTCTCTGCTGTGTCCTGAGCCTGCTCCTCTTCCCCAGGCTGACTGTGGAGGAGCACATCTGGTTCTACGCACGGCTCAAAGGACTGCCGGAAAAGAAAGTGAAAGAGGAGGTGGAGCAGATGGCAGTGGATGTCAGTTTGCCTCACAAACTGAAAGCTAGGACAAGCAAACTCTCTGGTAGGTTCAGCTGCTTTTGTATTTCTCAGCTGCTTCCTCAGCCCCAGAAAAATTCTTCTGGGTTTCACAGAGACTGCATCATGGACCTTGGTTGGCCACTCCAATTAAGTACAGACTACCACAATTAAGCACTTAAGAAAATCAGTTATTTATTAAGTACTTTATCAGTGTGTCTTAGTAAACTTAACAGTCTTACACTATCTTATGCTTTCTAATGGCTATTAAAAGTCACTCACTTTCTCAGAGCATTTTATACTTGTTTCCCTTATAACATAGTCCTGCTACATGTGATATGTGTTCTCCAAATGCTTACTAGTATGTTTGAGCTTTATGAGTTTAGGTGAGATTTGCTCAGGCCATAATCTCCAAATCCCTTGCTGTTTGTTAACCATATGTGCTGGTTTCTTATGCTGGCTTCTGTTTCTTTACTTGGTGTCCTGGAGTATACTTCCCCCTTGTTGAGGACCAGCAGGATTCCTGTATCAGTCTGTACCAGATAGCTGAGAGACCAAGACTTCTTTGTCTGAGTCAACTATCGGCACAGACTGTGCGTTTGACCTTTGGAAGGGACAACAGATGGCCACAGGTTGGTGTTAGTGTTGAAGAGTGTCATATAGTTCCTTGCTGCTGCCTCCGGCACACTTCCACAGGAGGGGTATCATTTGGGGACCTACTTCTGCACCTTAAGCTCTGGAGACCTATACTCCAGATCCTCAAATACGGTTAAGCCTCTAAGCTGGCAACTTGCTACTGCCAGTGTTGAGATAGCATGATTCACTTATCAAATGGCTTGCAAGGTGTGGTTTACTGAAGTATGAGGAGAGTTGGACTCCACTGAGGGAGGTCCATCCGGATGAATTATCCTCTGCCTTGAAAGTGATGGGACCCTGAAGGCCTGAAACAGTAGCAGTGCTTAGTTTTCTAAGTATGCAATTTTGCTTTCTGTCAGAGAGCTCATTATCCACTGTGCTGCAGCTACTGCTCATCTCTGCATCAGGCTGAACACCTCTTTCTGTGCCTGTCAGGTGGCATGCAGAGGAAGCTCTCAGTTGCCTTAGCCTTTGTTGGTGGCTCCAAGGTTGTCATTCTGGATGAGCCTACAGCTGGGGTGGATCCTTATTCTCGCAGAGGGATATGGGAATTGCTCCTGAAGTATCGGCAAGGTATGTGGTCTTTTTCTCTACTCCTAATGAATGTGTTACGGAAAGCAAAGGAAAACCAATCTGGTTCATGACTGATCTCAAAATAGCAACATGTCTTTGCCAGTCTGTTCTCGCCTGCACTGAGGAAGGAACAAAGAGCATGCAGGACAAGGATGTTCTGATCTCTCATCTGTCCTTCTTTCTCATTCTATTCATGTTAAAGCTTGTGAACAAAGTTCCTCACTGGGTTGTGAGGACAGTTGAAGTCAGAAATTCACTCCTGTGTGCAGCAGTGTCCTGTTCTCTGTGCAGTCAACCTTGCTGACATGAAATTAACCTGTTCTTGCTGAGCATGACAAGGGCCTACAAAGACTGTAGAGAATAAACTCATGACAGTAGTTGTGAACCTTATCCATACTGCTAGCCTCCGTGAAAGGAGCTTGGACTTGTGGCATCAAAGCCCATGCAACTTCATGGCAGGATCCGTATGGTTGTGGCTTTGGTTTGGGAACATAGGTGTGGTTGACTTACTAGCAGTGTCTTCCCTTGCTTTCTTCCAGGTCGCACTATCATTCTCTCCACACACCACATGGATGAGGCAGACATTCTGGGGGACCGGATTGCCATAATTTCTCATGGCAAGCTCTGCTGTGTTGGCTCTTCTCTCTTCCTGAAGAACCAACTGGGAACAGGCTATTATTTGACCCTAGTCAAGAAGGATGTGGATTCCTCTCTGAGCTCCTGCAGAAACAGCAGCAGCACAGTGTCCTATCTGAAGAAGGTACAGCTGACTCTTCCTGCTCATATTCATTCTTTCTTTATGAAATCTTAACCTTGCAGGGAAGAACAACTAAGATTTTATATGGTGGAATGTCTTAAAGAGAAAACCCTGATTCTTTAGAAGTGGTGTTATTTTTTTTATAGGTACTGTGCCAAATCGCGTGTGGTTAAACTGTTGCATGGGATGTACATCTCCATTATAGTTTCCATAGTGTCAGTGGTTCAAAGCTGATCAGAGATATACAGAATAGATGAAGTGCATGCTTTTGTAACACACACTTCTGTAGCTGCGACCTCTTACTTGTATTTCAGCCCTTTGGCAGTGGTATGTCACCATTACTTTCTAACTTTTCTGTGGAGTATCCAGCATGTTGTAGCATCTGGTTGGGGTTACCTAGCGTGTAGCATCTGATGGGCCCCTTTTTGATTAAACAGCAGGAAACAATGGTTGTCTTCTCTTTTGTGACCAGGATGACAGTGTTTCCCAGAGCAGCTCTGATGCCGGCCTTGGCAGTGACCATGAAAGTGACACGCTGACAATAGGTGAGGCTTGGAAAAGAGTGTAAGATTCAGTCCCAGTGCTGACATTGCTCTATCTTTGACCTTGGACAACTGCCTTAACCTTGTGCGCCTGTGTAGCTACAGTCTTCGGACAATCATTAATTTCAAGAAATTTCAAAATTTAGATCCATAAATATTGGAACATTTTTCTTTAGTGAGTCACTTTGGGTTCAAGCTGTCCTGAGATTTAATAACAAAAGATTAAATAGTTGCTAGGCTTGTTAGTGATGTGTAATATTTGCTGGTGAACTGTACATAAGTAACTCGAAGGGCTGCCAGTAGCATGTAAAAGCTCTCCCAAATTCTGCAGGTAAAAAGAATAGCCAGGCTTCAGTCCAGGCTTTCATCCAAGCTTGTGTTAAACGTAATAAAAAACAGACTTTCCATGGAAATGAGCTGCTTTCCAGAGATGTTCCATTTTCCCTCAGCAGAGTTTTTCAGACTGAGATCTTCTTTCCACATAATAAGCAGTAACAAGATGAACACCATCTTTTCCTTTTGGTTCTTCTAGATGTCTCTGCAATTTCAAATCTCATTACAAAGCATGTTCCTGAGGCCAGGCTGGTAGAGGATATCGGCCACGAATTAACCTATGTCTTGCCGTACAAGGCTGCTAAAGAGGGAGCTTTCGTGGAACTGTTCCATGAAATTGATGACCGTCTTGCTGATCTTGGCATTTCCAGCTACGGCATCTCTGAAACCACTCTGGAGGAGGTGAGTAAACTGAAGATCCTCTTTTGAACTTAAACTAGGCAAAATGAATCATGGCAGAAGTAAGAATGAGACAGAGTCTTGCCTCTTCCCATAATCATTTATTGTGGAACAGGCAGCTTTGTGTTCCTCTCCAAAATGGATTGCCTTCTGCCCTTTTTAAGTGTGTGCTCTTAGAAGCGTACAGTAAAAGCTGAAATGTAGTACAGACAAGTTTAGACAGGTCCTTTGTACTCAGTTGCACTTCGCTGAGATGTCATGTGAAGGTTGGCTCCCAATTTGGATTCTAATGACACTGTAAACACTTTCGAGGTATTTTTAGGGATGCTTTATGCTGCTCTTATCTGAAACATACATTTCAGTACTGGAGAATGTGCATTACAGAAACCACTTAGACGTATGCCCTTGTCAGGGATGTTTTCATGGCTTGTTCCTTGTGGCTGTGTTCCAACTGACAAGTCTCCTTTTCTTTTATCACTGAAGTGTCATACACTTTATCCCCTGTTTATCTCCTGTTTTTTTGAATAATGACAAGGGAAAGTGAAATGGTGGTGGTGGTGTCGCTTATTTAGGTCCTCCCACAGCTGTGAAGTCCTCTGGCTGCTATCCATAAGCTGAAAATGGAATTTTTCTGATCTAGGAGAGTCTGTGGAACGAGATCCACAAAGGTGCCTATTCAGGCATCAACAGGAGTGTAAGGACTGTCAGAATAGGAGGAAAATGGAATTCCCTGAATTTAGTAACTAGTTCTGTCCCTGAGACACAGGAGCAGTGGGAACTGACATTGGAAAGGGGCAATGGCAGGTATGTGGTTACAGGCTGGCTCCTCAAAGCTGGAGAGAAGCCACAAAGTCTTGTCTCCAGGGACAGGAGAGAAAGGGGAGAAACCCCGTATCTTCTCCTCTCATGCTGGCATTTGTCTTATGCTCTCTCATGGCAGTCCCCACAGTATCACTCCTCTTCTAATGTTCACTGACACTTACCATTGTTTTTCAGGTCTTTCTGAAAGTGGCTGATGATAGTGGCGTGGATGCAGAAACCTCAGGTGGGTGTAGTTGTCTCCTACAGTGTCAAGGGGCACTTCAGGCCTTGTTTTTTCTGGGGTTGATTGGAGATTAACTGAAGCAGCTCAGTTAATCCTAACTGCATTATTTTCAGATGGGACATTGCCAGCCAGAAGGAACAGGCGTGTGTTTGGAGACAGACAGAGCTGCCTTCGTCCATTTACAGAAGATGATGCATTTGATCCTAATGATTCAGACATAGATCCAGGTACTGCTGGGGCTCAAGCCTGTTTTCTTCTTGTGGACACTTTTATATTGTAAATACTGCAGATCATAAGGCTGAGACTGCCAAAGGAGTGATGGTTTACTTTCCTTTGGCAATAGTGATCGGTGCAGTATACACAGCCTGCCAAATCCTCCCATCAAGGCTCAGAAAGATAAGGGTCAAAATCCATTCTTGTGCGCTTCTGTTGCCATCTATGCTCAGCACTGTCTTTTTTTTTTTCGGTTGAGTGAGAGTAGCTGCTCCAGCCATCACCCTGTTTCTCCAGCACGGAAGCTGCCAGAAAATGTCGCTCTGAGCTTCTGAATGAAAGTAATTTCTTCTTGATAGCAGAATCCAGAGAGACAGACCTTCTCAGTGGCATGGATGGGAAAGGATCCTACCAGATGAAAGGCTGGAAGCTCACCCAGCAGCAGTTCATGGCTCTGTTGTGGAAGCGGCTGCTTATTGCCAAGAGGAGCCGGAAGGGCTTCTTTGCTCAGGTGAGAGCACCCAGCATGTGCAGGGTCCCTCGTCAGGGACAGCTCTGGACCATGCGTTGGATTCAGAGTTGAAGGTGGGCAGAAAACCTCAGTGGAATACAGATAACCAAAATGGTCTTCACTGCATATCTGAGCAAAAGGGGACCTGTGCCAGTGAAAGTAGTTACATGTTAACCATGTAGTTACCCTATTCTTGCACAGCAGGGATGCAACTGAGATTCAGATCCCAATTTGGCCTTGAGAGCAGCATTTGCAGGCTGAATCCTCTGCATTCTAAGTGAGTGCCCTGATTGAATGCCAGGGTAGGTCTTGAGCTGGGGTCTAGCAATGCTTTAGTGTAAATAGCAAAGACCTTCCTGGGAAACTTCACTGAAGTTAAGTGATTCATATGTAGCTTCTGATGTCTCTGGGAACATTCACGTTAAAAAGGCCTTATTCTTTCCTTGCAATTTCAGATCGTGCTGCCCGCTGTCTTTGTGTGTATCGCTCTCATGTTCAGCCTGATTGTTCCTCCCTTTGGAAAGTATCCCAGCCTAGAATTACAACCCTGGATGTATGATGAGCAGTACACTTTTATTAGGTATGTTTCTTGTGGCCTAATAATTCTGTTCTTCTCTGCAAACATGAGTTACTGATTTCCTTATCAGGTTGTTTAAATTTGTTTTCTGTGCTTAGCTCAGAAGCACATTTTAGGAGAGTCCTGTTATTTTCTTTTTGGACCTTTAAATGCCAACTACTGGCAAGACCATATCCATTTCTGAATGGTGCTGACTCTAGTAATAAAATGCACAAGACCAGGAGTGTGTGTGTGCTCCTAGGCCAAGCTTGTGTGCTCCTGGGCCAAGCTTGGAAATCTGCACCCATATCCTTTTCCTGAGCTGTTTCACTGTGCTGTCAGGCTTGCTCTGCTGCCACTTTTGCTGTGTGCCTGTTAACCTGGTAGTCTTTCTCTGCTTTACCCATAGCAATGATGCTCCAGAAGATCCAGGCACTCAGGTGCTTTTGGATGCCCTTCTCAGTAAACCTGGCTTTGGTACACGCTGTATGCAGGGACACTCCATCCCGTAAGTAGAACTTTGGGCTGGGAAGAGGGAGCCCAGCCCCAGCTTTGGTCACTGAGTAGATTTATCCAGCTTTAGGGTACAATAGTCATACATGGCCAGAGCAGGATTTAAGCTAAAAAGTTGCAATTATCTTTGTTTTTTTGGCTGAGGACCTTTTAGAAAGTTACCAGCCCTCAGCATGGTGAGGGAGTGAGGTTTGAGTGCAAGTCCTCACTGACAGAGATGGAGAGAAGACACTAATCTCTCCCTTAAATTACTGTTTGGTCCTGAACATGGAAAAGGACCTAGTCATGTTGCTGTATGTTGTTGGCTATAGCTATTCCCATTGCACAATCCTCTGTTTCTGTCTGCGCTATGAGCAAACAAATGCCAGCAGAAAGAGTGTAGAGCCAGACAGCATTGGTGGTGTTTCCTAGCTTTGCCACTGAGCTGCTGCATGGCCTTGGGGCAAGGGGCCCTATCTGCTGGCCAGTAGCAGAAAGTAAGCTGTATCCTGCAAAAGACACAGGAGCTGTGTTACTCCACCCATGGAGCACTCTGAGGACGCCACCCACTGATGTTGCCTTGGGGAGGAGCCATAGTTTGGTGCTTCAAAGGCAGAAATGTCATCCAAGAAAGACCGCCTGCCGTGATTTTAGCATCGTAGAATATCTTGAGTTGGAACTGACCCATAAGGATCATTAAGCCCAACTCCCTGCTCCTTGCAGGATTACCTGAAACTAAACCATATGAATAAAAGCATCATCCAGACACTGCTTGAACTCTGGACACTGTGCATGCTGGGGCTGACTGAAATAAAGCACTCACAAGCTGTGGAGTGAATGAGAAGAGGGGAGTGTCTGGTACTATTCAGTTTTGGCCAACCTTAGTCTCTTGGTACTGGGATCTGTTAGAAGCTGCAGAGTTGCTCTGAGCTGTTCGTCTCATGAGGTCAGGCTCCTTTGAAAGAACAGCCTGCCTTTTCTGAGGACTCTGGCATCTGTTATTGAAATGGCCTGTAAGAAAAGGCCCTCATAGTTGTTTTAAAAACTGCATTTGCCTTGCCTCTTCCCTGACACAGAGACACTCCTTGTACTGTGGGGCAGACAGAATGGACCACTGCTTCAGTCCCAGACTCAGTCCTGAACATCTTCTTGAAAGGCAACTGGAGCATGGAGAACCCTTCCCCATCTTGCGAGTGCAGCAATGAGAAGATCAAGAAGATGCTGCCTGTGTGTCCCCCTGGTGCAGGCGGGCTGCCACCACCACAGGTAGGAGGGAGCTCAGTGGTACTGCAGTGAGGGATGCTCCTGGAGAGCAGAGCAGCTGGGTTTGATTCTTGTGTGGTGCACACAGTTTGTTTGGTTCGGTGTCTGTGTTTTCTGATGGGCATTTGTCTGTGTTTCCCCCGGTAATGCCAGCGTGAGCAAGATACTGCTGACATCCTCCAGAATCTGACAGGTCGCAATATATCAGACTACCTCGTGAAGACGTACGTGCAGATCATTGGGAAAAGGTAATTGTTGAGCACCCTCTTCCTTCCTTCCCCACCAAACGCTGCTTGCTGCATGGGGATGCTTCACAGATAAGGCAAATAGGCCTGTTCAACTCAAACTCTTAAGCAGTAGGCCAGAGCCACTCAGCTCCTCAGGTTGTCCTGATCCACAGCTCAAGTGGTGTTTCTGTTTTATTAGTGTCTGCTGTGGCAGCTCCGTGGGCTGTGTCCTGAGCCTTGCAGGCACAATGCAGAGGAAGTCTGGGCTCCAACTTGTATTGGAGGGGGATTACACCACAGAGGAGTAGTGGGACTTATGCCAGATGTGAGAGGCTATTGCACTTTCTTTGCCTGGCCATATGCCTGCAGCACTGTTAGGTCTGTGTCTCCTCTTGTTTCATGTATTATACATCAGCTTTCTTTTCTGTCTCTACAGTTTAAAGAATAAGGTCTGGGTGAATGAGTTCAGGTGAGTTACTGCCTTTTCTCTAGCTTATATGTGTCCACTAATCCTCAAGCACTGTGTTAAGCAGGACAGACCCATCCCACTTAAGTTTGTTTTATAACTTTTAACTGCCAAATGTTGAGGGAGCATGTTTAAGGATAAACTGGGCCAACCCCAGAGCGCATTACTGGAAGGCATGTTTGCCTTATGCTGAGAGCAGTATTGGCTTGAAAAGATTTTCAGGACCAGCCTACTGATGTTTCATCCTGGCAGGTGCTATTTTCCAAGCAGAAGAGCCAGGGAGATGCCCTGATTTGACTGCACTCACAGCAGGGGATAGCAGCGTTCATCAAACAGAACAGCACGCTGAGCAGTCATTAAATGGGTATTTAACCCCAGAAAAAAAGGAGTAGGAGACACCATGGCTAAGCAGCAGTTTAGGAAGATCAAAGTAATTGCTTTGTGTAGGAGCAGAGACACTGCTTGGATACAGTACAGGAAAAGGAGACATCTGGGGAAGGAAGAGGAGTGGCATTTTGTGGAAGTCAGCAAGTAGACAGGTCTTAGCATCACTTTTTATCTGAACTTTCAGGTATGGTGGCTTTTCCTTGGGAGCCAGCAGTTCCCTCATGCTTCCTCCAAGCCATGAAGTCACTGATGCCATTAAACAAGTGAAAAAAATCTTGGAGCTAGCACAGGTGAGTAGCTGTCTTCCATTAACCTAAGATGCACGAATGTCAGAGCCCTGTTACTTGGGAGATGACTTGCAAGCCAAAAAGGGGGAGCATGTTAGTTGTGTTCAGTGTCTTCTCCCCATTGCCTGGGGTCTCCCAGGCATCTGGGAGCAGCAGAAGGCTTAGGGACTGACTCAGCTGAAGCTTATGCAGCCCACATGCTGATGTGGGTTCTGTCTAAAACCACTTGCAAGGGGTGGGGATTACAGTCACCTCTGAGTGTTTTGTGGCAGGTCAGGGCAGGCTGTCTCTGGGAATTAACAAGTGGCTGCCATCTTCTTCAAAACCTCAGTTGAACCCTTTTGTGCTGAGTCTGCCTTGACTAAGAAGAGAATATGGGCCGCTGGTTTATTCTGAGACTGCTTGTGGGCTGCAATGTCTCTGAAGGTTGCCTGCAACCCTGGCTAATACTTAATGCTGGGGAAAAAAAGAAGCCTACGCGTGACCTCTCATAATGGTGGGACTGCAGAAAGGAAAGAGGGGAGGAAAGCTGCAATTTCTCAGCCTTCCTGCTACCTCCAGCTTGGCAGATACAGGCTGCAGAATGGAAAGAAAACTGTCAGAGCTGTGAGAAATGTGTGAACCCTGCTAGACTGCAGTACATGAATGAAGGACCTCTCAGAGGGGAAGTAACTGTCTCTTTGCTGTTTGCAGGGGAGTTCTGGAGATCGGTTTCTCAACAGCTTGTCAAGTTTCATGAAAGGCCTGGATACAAAGAACAATGTGAAGGTAAATTAACAAGTCCTCACTGATGTGCCTGTTACTTGAAGCTCTGGTAACCTGGAGTTAGGTTTAGTTAGCAAAGTCACAGCAGTTTGCCTTGGACAACTGCACAGACCATAGCTCTCTGTATTTGCTAGTGGAGCAAATGCAGTTGGCATTCTTGTGTGGGTTTCCCCAAAATCTGTTTCTCCCTTGGAAGTCTACGCCTCAGGCTCGGAAGTTCAGTGCTGCATCAGTACTAGCTTTCAGCAGCCTCTTGTGGTTATTAATCAAACTGTATGTTGTGTCCTTGAGCAAACTAGCTGGAAAGATGTGGAAAGAAATTATATGCCCTCAGTAGAGGAAGGGATGTTGTGCAGGGCTTAGGAACCTGTTGGGTAGCTGATGTACCTCGTACCTTTGTGATGCTGACATGGTCTCTTACAGGTGTGGTTCAACAACAAGGGCTGGCATGCCATTGCCTCCTTCTTGAATGTGATAAATAATGCCATCCTTCGGGCTAACCTGGAGCAGGGAAAAAATCCTAGTGCTTACGGGATCACTGCCTTCAATCATCCACTCAACCTCACGAAGCAACAGCTCTCTGAAGTGGCCCTGTAAGTGCTGACAGGAATTTGGATAGGTTTGGGCTCATCAGCTGCTGGTTACTAGAAACAGGCAACATGGGAGGTTTTAGCCTCACTGGTGGAAATTCAGTGGCCTGTGATATTTAGGCTCTGACATGATGGCCTTATTTTCTGTGGTCTGGGCAGGTGGCAACATGCTGTTGAGACTTACTGTTGAACAGCACTGCTGTGCAAGCTTTCTATGTCCCTGGAAGCTACAGTTTCTAAGAACCTGTGTAATCTTCAGACTTGCTGCTGTTTGGGAAATTCCTCTCACCCATATCCAGAAAGGTGTCTCTTTTGTCCCAGGGTGCCACTGTTTGACTTGAAAATTGATAGATCCTGTTCATTTTTGCCCACTGTCTCAACTGGGTATGGGGGGGGGGTCACACAGTAATGCACAGTGCTTACTGGACTTAGGCCCTGCTACCACACCCATGAGTCATAAGCTGTGTGCAGACACATCCTTCAAATCTTAGAGCAGTCAGTTACCGCTGAATTTTAAAAAAACAAAAATCAAACAAGCAAAAAGACAAATCCCCAACAACCCCAAGAAATGTATTGAGAAACAAAGTGGTTGTGATGAGGAAGGCAGGAAGCAGTCTGTTATGCTGAAGTTGCTAATCTCCAGGTTGTGGTGCTCTTCTTGAGATGCCAAGAGGCTGTCTATGTTCCCTTTGTTGTATGGCTGGAGAAAAATTGCAGTTAAGACAGCCTCATGCAGCCATCCTTCATCCTGCAAAACAAGGATTGCAGAAGGAGAAACAGTTTTTGTACTACCCTGCATGAGCTGCTTTATTTCATCTCAAAGGAGCCAGCACTACCATACAAACACTTTGCTTTCTTCTCTTTTTTTTTGTCCAGGATGACCACCTCAGTGGATGTCCTAGTCTCCATCTGTGTGATCTTTGCCATGTCCTTTGTTCCTGCCAGCTTTGTGGTTTTCCTTATCCAGGAACGTGTCAGCAAGGGTAAACACTTGCAGTTCATCAGTGGTGTGAAACCTGTGATCTACTGGTTGGCCAACTTTGTCTGGGATATGGTAAGGGCTTTGTGACTGTGCTAAACCATCCTCCATTCCATGTTTGCAGGATGTCTGTTGCACTGAAGTGCAAAGTGCAGTTTGGGCCAGTGGGCACTATACTAATTCCGTGAATAATAACTATACCTATGACTTCTGTGTTTACTTTTGGGTCAGTGGTTCACCTCAGTGGAACAAGGAACACTGAACAGAGGATGGGAGGGCAACCATAAGCTCAATCATCAGCATTTATTATGTCACTTTAAAATATGTGCTCCAGAGTGTTTGCTTATGTAGGCCCTTGTTCTGCTCCATTCAAAGCAGGGTTTTTTTCAGCATGTGATGTCCAGAACCTCTGAGATTCTACTGACTACTTCCAGAGGGACCAAGAAACATAAATCCATGTGTACTACATTGTAGTTCACACATGTGACACTTCTAAGAATCTCCCATTGGAAACAGCTTTGAGAACACTGAACAATGTTGAAAGACATTGGTTCAGAGCAGAAAGACACCTTTCATTTTTTTGTCATTTGGAAACAAATCTAAAGCCATATTTTTCACCTTCCAGTGCAACTACATTGTTCCAGCCACGCTAGTCATCATCATCTTCATCTGCTTCCAGCAGAAGTCCTATGTATCCTCCTCCAATTTGCCTGTCCTGGCTCTCCTTCTGTTTCTCTATGGGTAAGGGATTTCTCATCAGAAGGATGTCTGGGAAGGCTCTTAGACTTGGAAGGTGCTTACCTGATATTGCCGCCTTTCCTTTTGCCAGGTGGTCCATCACCCCTCTGATGTATCCAGCCTCCTTCGTGTTCAAAATTCCCAGCACAGCATATGTTGTCCTGACCAGTGTGAACCTCTTCATTGGCATCAATAGTAGTGTGGCCACCTTTGTCCTGGAGCTCTTCACCAACAACGTATGTTTCCCCAGAAGCTCCTCACTGTCTTGGGCTGCTACAATCTAGTGTCATATGATGCCTTTAGTAGCCAGTCCTCCAGATGGGCTAGCCACCAGCTGGTACCCATTAGTTACTGCAGCAGTTTAAACAAAGATTCTGAGTGGAAATGGTTTAAAGCCCACTTCATCAATGTTCACAGGGTAGATAAGGTGGGAAATGACATCTTGAGATTGTATAGTCCAGCCTCTGAGCAGGGTCAGCTAGAGCGGGTTGCACAGGGCCATCAGGTTTTGAAGGTTTCTGGGGATGGAGGCTCCACAGGCTGTATGGGCAACCTCTTCCACTTCTCAATCACCCTTAGGGTGAAAAAAAAAAAAAATATATTTTCTTATGTTCAGATGGAATTTTCTGTATGTTCTTCATAAGGGGCAGTTTCTGTCTACTACAGGCCATTTCAAGTAGTCAAGCATTTAGTTGCCTTCAGTTTTGCCTCCCTTGGTAGATACCTCTCAAACTGTACTTGGAACTTACACACTTCAGTTTTTCCAAAGCCAGATGCTTGGAGGAGGTGAAAGTTCCTCTCATGCCTTTAAGCAAGACAAGGTGTCTTAGCAGGTCCCATTTGTTCCACAGTGGTCTGAAGTGTACCTTGTGGGAAGAGGTTGGAGTTACCGGTTGATTGTACCGCTGCCCGTAGGCATAAGGAGACAGTCCTTGATGATGGTCCCTTCTGTTACAAAGCTTGTTTTAGCTCAGTAAGAACATGCACATGTTTGTAGATAAGTGCCTGGCAGAACAGGAACCTCTCCTCCGGCTGCCATCAGTCCAACCCATGAGCTAAACCAACTGGAAGACCACAAAATAAAAGGATTAGAGCCTCCAGTATGCAATAGGGAGGGGCTACACAGCCATTGAGATAACCAAACTGTGCAAGCACAACTTTGCTGTTTCCTCAGCCTGTAGCCTTTCTGTACATTATTGTTTGCAGACACTGCCTTTTAGACTGTGATCGTTTGGAGGAATTTCTCCTTCGGTGCGGTTTGCTTGTATTGATAGCATCTTGAGTAAGGCAAGAACAGCTACTGTCCTGAGGAGCCATGGCACTGGCTTTTGGGAGAGCACTCCTAATCCTCAAATTGTGGTGGGAATGCAGTGTTGGGGGAGGCAGGGGTCAAGCACAACATGCATTTGAACTCAATCTTAAAGGTCTTTTCCAGCCAAAATGATTCTATGATGCTGTGGGTCACACTTGGCAGGCGCTGGCTGCTTTCTGCTCAGATGGCTCACTGGCACTTGATTTTTGTCTTAACAGAAGCTGAACAACATCAATGACATTCTGAAGTCTGTTTTCCTCATCTTCCCCCATTTCTGCTTGGGGCGGGGACTCATTGACATGGTGAAAAACCAGGCTATGGCTGATGCTCTGGAGAGGTTTGGTGAGTGAAATTGTGTATCACAGGGACAGTGGCCTGAACTGAACAGGGAAAGCTCGAGTCTGCTCTGGATAAGCAGCACCCTTTGCTCATCTGACTTTCAGGAACTAAAACTGTACAATTTGCAGCACAGATCTGATCTAAGCTGGCAAGTCTCCACAGCTGTCCTTTTTAGGTTGTTTCAAGGACAGAAGAGGGCCTGGCAGATAGATCCCCACAGTTTTGAGTTATTAGGGGCATTAAACAAAAATGCATGAACACAACGGTATAGAGAGGATTATTAGGCCAAGTGTAAGGAGTGGCTGAGACCCTGGAAAGCTGGTTGTTGTTTTTTTTAATGGGATGCAGATGCCAGGCCTGAGTCAGTCTTCCTGTGCTTCACTAACCTTTCAGAAAGGTGGGCCAGCACTCCTGTGGCAGACTGAAATCTCCAGGCCCATGTCCCAGGTTGCTACAGAAAGAAACACGCATGCAGCCACAAATGGCCCCTTATGTGGTCTGTCCTGTCCCTCCTCCCACTGGCTGCATTCCAGTTGCCCGAGCACCCAATTCGGTGAGCTCTGCAGGAAGAAATGCTAGCCTGCTTGTTTGCTTGGGAAAGGTGACTGTGCTCTTCGTCTTATTTTGGCAGGAGAAAATCGTTTTGTGTCTCCTCTGTCATGGGATCTGGTGGGAAGGAACCTCTTTGCCATGGCAGTAGAGGGCGTTGTCTTCTTCCTCATCACAGTGCTCATCCAGTACAGGTTCTTCATCAGACCCAGGTAGGATGTCTGCTCCACTTCACCATTGCAGGCAGGTGAAGTTTTCATTGGTGCCCCCCATGAAGTGGGGAGGATATTAACTGTGGAGGCCCTGTCATCTTCTGCTAAGGCTTTAGCATGTTACTCTCTCCAGGCCTGTCTATGCCAAGCTGCCTCCTGTGAATGATGAAGATGAGGATGTAACCAGAGAAAGACAGAGGATAATTAGCGGAGGAGGACAGAGTGACATCTTGGAAATCAAGGAGCTAACCAAGGTGACAAAAGTTCTGCATTCCTAAGACTACTTCGTACAAACCATGCAGTTCACCAGGAGCCTCATTCAGAGGAATTTAATGGGGTCAAAACCAGAGTGTTCGGAGTTTTGAACATGTATGGCTCAAATCAGAGTTCCCATTGGCATCGTCCTTCTCATTCTTTTTCTCCTGATTTCAGATTTACAGAATGAAGCGAAAGCCAGCTGTTGATAGGATCTGTGTTGGAATACCCCCTGGAGAGGTAAGCTTATCTGTCAAATTCTTTGCTCTGCTATTAGTGCAGTATTTAAGAGCAACGAACAGCAGAGAGTAGGGTAAAATCAGAAACAGATTATATTCAGATTACATCAAAGGAAATTGCCTGGAAGTTGAAAGCAGTTTCTGATCCTGTGTCTCTCTGCCTTTGAAGAAAGTACTCAATTCAGTGTCTGGGACCAGAGGCCAAACTCTGGTACCCTCAAGGGTTGGCATAGATAGGCTGTGGTGACACTGCACCAAGATGGCTCCACAATTCATTCGTTTTCCCAGCCTAAAGACTTACACTTAAAATAAAAGACCAGATGCTTTTTCTCTGAAAATGCACAAAAGACTCACTCCAGGTGTCCTGAGAGTCAGATTTGCTCCTTCCCATCTTGCCAGTGCTGAAATGATGTAGCTCAATCCTATTCTCAAAAATACTGATGTAGCTGAATCCTGTTCTCAAAAACACTGCGCTCATCTGCTCTTTTGTATCACCAGTGCTTTGGACTCCTGGGAGTAAACGGTGCGGGCAAGTCATCCACTTTTAAGATGCTGACTGGTGATACAGATGTGACGGGAGGAGAAGCTTTCCTCAAAGGAAACAGGTGAAAGACCGTGCATCTTTCTCTGCTTTGTGTCAAAGCAGGTCCTTTGCTGCTTTCTTCTTCATCTTGCACAGCCTTAGTTCCACTTCCAGCAAGTCTGAACTCTGCCCCACTTTTCCCTTTTTCAACTCCTGGCATCTGTTTCAGCCCTTTGCTGAGTCTGGTAAAGTATTTCATGAGCTTAGGAAAATTGATTTATTCTGGTAGTCACTTCTCTGTACCTGCCCTCTCTTGTTGAAATATCGTATTGAAAAAAAGAGGGGGCAACAGGGAGAGAGAAAAAAGAATTTGATCAAGATGGACTTCTAGGATCCTGCATTTTTATTAATTCAGTGATTCTAAACCCACTGTTCCACTCTTCTCCTTTTAACACCTAAAATAGCATCATGTACTTGTGAAATCCTAACAAAGGGGTTTTTCTTTTACAGTATCTTGTCCAACATCCAAGAAGTCCATCAGAACATGGGCTACTGCCCACAGTTCGATGCTGTTAATGAGCTGCTGACAGGGCGAGAGCACTTGGAGTTCTACGCACTCCTGAGAGGTGTTCCAGAGAAAGAAGTCTGCAAGGTAAACCAAATGCCATAGGACCCACTCCAGTGACCGGTTGTTCCTGCTTGCATGCACCATCCCTGCAACATGTGCAATGCCATGATGTGAAGCTGCTGAAGATACTGTGTGCTGAAATCTGTCCCCCTTTCCTTCCAGGGCAAACCAAAGTTGCTAAAATACAGTAAATGGAAGGTCAGATACTTTGGGTCCTGAATTCTCACAGTGGATGCATTTCTCCACTGAATGACTTCTTTCCTTTAAGAGTTCAAGGGCTGTGAAGCTGCAGGTCATGCAGAACCTAATCTGCTGTCAAGAGTTAATTCTTCAAAGTCCCAGGGAGGAAGCACTTTACAGCTTAACAGAAGCCTCATGCTGGCTGTTACATCTTTCCAATTGATTGTGCTGCATCCTTAAAGTGCTGCTGTTTCAGCATTCAGACATGGTGTTACACTAACAGTCTTTAGGCAACTTAATGGCAGCTGCCAATACCATACAGCATCCTTCACAGTTTTCATTAAGTGTCCTGGGTGCTGCAGAGCAGGAACTGCTGTAGGTAGGAAGATGACATCTGTACCCAGTGCTTTGGATTGGGTCAGATCTGGTGCCTACGGTGTATCCAGGTAGCTTGAATCCCTCTTTGAGAGTAGTGCTGATGGGTGAAGTCTGCAAGCTCCTTCGAAGGTTGCTGGCGAGTTCCTCTGTGTGATGTTCCCATCAGCCCCATGTAGAAAGAGACCCAGTTCTGTATATGATCCAAGTAGTAGCTGAATCTCTTCCCCCCTAACACTTTTTAGTCCCCAGGGCAACAATGCCTGGACATTGGCACCAGTAGTAATACTCTTGGATAACAAGTCAGATCCTCCCCATCTGTCTGAAGGGCTAAGATGCAGCACAGTGAGATTGCTGTGTGTCGGTAGTGACCATGTCCATGCTGCAAGTCCACCACAACGGGAGAGCCAGCTGCATGGGGCAGTCTGCCATTCTTTTGGATCTACAGGTGCATTCCCAGCATCTGGCCTACGATAGATCATCTCTGGAATGCTGATTCCCTCAGAGACTGGATGCCTCTCTCTATCGTGGTCCACTTGCCTGAGTGACACATAACATCGTCCTTGTACGGAAACCTTTCCTTCACAGCTGCCAAGAGCCACCTCCAAAGGCTGAGGGTTTGCTTCTCTTTTGCAATCGCTTTGTCAATTCCTCCTTCCTTAGCAAGTGATCCCAGCTGCTTGGTTTCCCTACCTTCTAGTTCATGACCATCAGCCCCATTGTCCCAGCATCGGAGCAACCAGGTGGTGATGTGCTCCCCTGGAAGACGGGTGAAATGTTTTCGCATATTCTGCAGCTCGATCGAGGTCTGGGGTGGAGAAGTCACCTCTTCCTCTTCTTTCTCTTCATCTGATCCACGTAGTAGTAACTCTTGTTCAGATGGCATCCCCTGTAGTAAGTGCATTGGGACTTTGTCTTTATTCACTGCACGAGTTGCTCTTTGTGGCTCTTGTTTGCTTTTCCTCTTGCTTACAGGGGCCACCGATAGTGTCACAGATTGGTCTTTTGGTTTAG